AAAACGCTAAGGGAAAGGGGGAAGCTGAGCAGCAGACACAGACCAAGCAGCAGGGAAACGCTGGAAGTCAGTAGCAGACGGGCCCTCTACTGACAGTTCACGCCGTTCGCCCGACCCAACCGACCCTCACCGAGTGATTGTGCCGGTTCACGCAATCGACCACACCCGGCCGAATAAGGAGGGTACCACGGTAGATAGCCCTATACTGCTCAGTGGAAAAATTGGGACGGACTTAGTTAAAATCTTCGTAGACGGGGGAGCCAGCCACAGCCTCATTAACACTGCTACAGCACGAAAACTGCGACTGCCACTGGACCGATGCTTACCTGAGATCGACGCACGTCTGGTAGACGGCACGCCGCTGGCAATACGGGAACGCGTAGACCGAGTTCGGATTCGATGCGGGGGTAACTTCACGTTTAGTCAGGAAATGCTCGCAACGACCCTCGACGGAACCGACATTTTACTCGGGCGTGATTGGCTGCGACGACACAATCCGCGAATTGACTGGACGACGGGTGACTGCACCGTGCGAGTAAACGGTAACAACATCGCCTTACCTCGCTGGGGCTCGCCTGAGTCTTCGTCGGTGCGTGTCAGCGCGATCACGATGAAACGCGCTGTTGCGGCTAGAGCCGACGTGTACGCGGTTGACATTCGGGAAGCCGAGGCAGCAGACAAGGGGCGGGATTTACAGAAACTGCTGACCGACGTACCAAGTGACCTGGCGGCACTGTTAAAACAGTACAGTGACATTTTCCCGGACGACCTGCCGACGGGACTGCCACCTCAGCGACCGCACGATCACAGGATAGAACTGGAACCGGGGGCACAGCCAACAGTACAGCGACAGTTCCGACTGACCCAACCCGAACTAGACGAACTGAGGAAGCAGCTCGATTACCTGCTCGAGAAGGAATTCATTCGCCCTAGTTCGTCGCCCTTCGCCGCACCCATACTGTTCACACCGAAAAAGGACGGGGGGTTTCGCATGTGTATCGACTACAGGGCACTGAACAGGGTTACCATCAAATCCCGTTACCCCATCCCACGAGCCGACGAACTGATCGACCAACTGCGCACAGCCCGGGTTTTCTCGAAAATCGACCTCCGAGGAGGCTACCACCAAATCCGCGTCAACCCACCCGACTGCCCTAAAACCGCATTCCGAACACGCTACGGATCCTTCGAATACACCGTCATGCCATTCGGACTGACCAACGCCCCCGCCACTTTCCAAATGACCATGAACGAAGCATTCCGCCCACTTTTAGATAAGTGCGTCATCGTTTATCTGGACGACATACTGATTTACAGCCCTGACAGAGCACAGCACTTACAAGACATCGAAGCCGTTTTTAAAATCCTGAGTGAGAACCGCCTACTGACCAAAGCATCTAAGTGTGAGTTTTTACAGGACCGCCTGGAGTTTTTGGGACATGTTATTTCACCTGCAGGAGTGGAAATAGACCCGAAGAAAATTGCGACGATTCAGGCTTGGCACGCGCCGACCAACTTGACCGAGTTGCAGAGTTTCCTGGGGTTCGTCAACTACGTGCGCCGGTTCGTCCCCGACATGGCGAAGCTGACTGCCCCGTTGACCGACCTGCTGAGGAAGGGGGTTGAGTACACGTGGGGGGAGAAAGAGCAAGCTGCCTTCTCGGCCCTCAAAAATCTTTTGTGCTCCCCGCCCGTCCTTCACATTGCAGATCCCCACCGTCCGTTCGAGCTCGTCACCGACGCAAGTGACATCGCTGTGGGAGCAGTACTGTTGCAGGACTTCGGGAACGGCCTCCAGCCAATCGCGTACGAGTCCCGCAAACTACACCCGCCCGAACGTAACTACCCGATACACGACCGCGAGATGCTAGCGATCGTGCACGCGTTCAAAGTTTGGCGATGTTACCTGACTGGCGCCGACGTGACAGTACGGACAGACCACCGCTCGCTACAGTACCTTCGCGCCCAACCGAATCTCAACCCACGACAGATTCGCTGGTTGGACTATCTCGAGTCCAATTTTCACTACACCGTCACGTACAAAAAAGGAGCATCCAACATCGCCGACGCTCTCACCCGCCCCACCGCCCAACTCCACGCCATCCTACTCGCCCAGACCAACCCGCTTTTAACTGGCCTATTCACCCACGGATACCGCACCGACCCATTCTTCACGACCGGAAATTCACAGCAACTGGCAGAAGCAAAAGGAGTTTATTACGTAAAAACAGGCACCAACCGCATTTGGGTACCCGCGTACTCACTACTGAGGGAGCTGCTACTACAGGAGGCACACGACGGGATTACCTCGGGACATTTCGGGGTAGAAAAAACGCGACAGCAACTGCAGCGGTATTATTACTGGCCGGAGCTGTTGACCGACGTACAGCAGCACGTGGGCTCGTGCCCGACGTGTCAGGTGATGAAGAGTTCAAGGAAGCGGAAGGCGGGTCAATTGCAGCCGATCCCACCGCCCGAACGCGCCTGGCAGCAAGTAACCATGGACTTCGTCACAGGGTTACCTTCGAACCCTGGGGGTAACGACGCGGTGATGGTCGTCGTGGATAGGTTGACGAAGATGGCACACTTCGCTGCGTGCAAAAAGTCGATCTCAGCCGAAGAGACCGCTCGCCTGTTCATCGCAGCCGTTGTTCGCCTGCACGGGATACCAGCAGCAATTATCAGCGACAGGGACACGAAGTTTACCAGCAACTTCTGGAAGAACCTCTGGGAGCAGTTCGGGACCAGGCTACAGTTCAGTTCGTCGTACCACCCCGAGACCGACGGCCAAACGGAACGGACGAATCAGACGATGGAGCAGTTGATTCGTGCCACGTGTGACGACCCCACGACCTGGGAGCAGCAGCTGCCGCTGATCGAGTTCGCGTACAACAACGCCACATCAACCACGACGCAGCAGTCCCCGTTCTACCTGAACTACGGGCAAAACCTTACAGTGCCCATGACGCCGAGTCCGGACAACCCAACGCCACGTGCACAACAATTCGCCGAAATCCTGCAAGCTGCCCGCGCCAGAGCTGCCGAAGCAATAAAAAAGGCCAACGTCATCGCTAAGCGCAACGCTGATCGCCACCGCCGCCCTGTCACGTACCAATCTGGAGATTACGTGCTGCTCGACACGCAAAATCTGCGACTGCCCGACGTACCGAAATTACGACCGCGCTACTGTGGACCATTCCAAATCAGTCACATGATCACACCCGTCACCGCACACCTACTGTTGCCAACCGACTGGTACATCAGCCCTTCGTTCCACGTCAGCCTACTTCGCCCATACATCCCGACCACAAGTCAACTGCCGCGTCACCGGCCACAATCAATGACTCGCCCTGCATCAGAGCCGATCATCGAGCCCAAAAAAATTCTGAGCCATCGGATCCGCCACCCCACGGGAATCAGGAGGATTGAATTCCTCGTTCGCTGGAAAGACCGCACGCCAACTGAAGATAGCTGGGTGCCCCTGAGCAACATAGACAATCACCCTGCCCTGCAAGTGTACCTGAGGAGCCGGGGATTCCGCGATATACACGCACTCGTGTAGCGGAGGGGGCTTCTTAAGGGGGGGGGTAGTGTAAGGAATTTTCTCGGCATTCCTTACGGAGCCGACTACATCGCGTACAGCAACAGCCGATTGTTCGCCCGTTACTGCTAACGGAACTTCGCCGACTTCGCGCGCACTGTTTTGCCAAACCTCGCACTGCTGGCATGGCCGTATCGGCCTACGCTTCGGGACTAGCCCGAGCCTCGTTCCAGCGTAGCACTAGCAAGCTCGCACGCACCGCGTTACCGTTTTGCATGTTTCGCGTATAAATGTTCGCTCATGCCTTCGCTCACATTTTGTACTCGTTTGACACCTTAGTGCAATTCTCGCTACTTAGATTCATTGCACCCGTAACAACCTTGCACACGCAACTACAACCAAGCCCTCGTCAAGGCATCCATTTCGAGCCTGCTGATGACCTCGCCTTTTTCCTTCCCCCACCATCGCCATAGCCATGGCTGGCAGATTTGGAGGAATGGCCATCTGTTGAGGGTACTGTACAGTACCGGACGCAGCTACCATCACTGTTCGACAAACGGACGACAAACGGAATCGGCCGGCGGATGTCGAGGAGAGGGTGTTAGCAGACGACATCAGTCAACGACATCCCTAAAGATACAAGTTACATCGGTTACAGACACTTCTTTCCGTTTCGCCTAACTGACGACATCCGTCAGTCAGTAAACGGACGCCGCCGGCGGATGTCGAGGGGATTGGTCACTGGTCATCACCGCACAGAAGTCACCGTAGTAAGCTGAAGCGCACTGAAGTCAGCGGCTGACCATACATAGCCCAGCCATGCATTGGAAGAGCCAAGATGTCACTGGCTTGGGTATGCACCTGCATTCGCTGGAGGGCGGTTCGACAAAGAGCTGAGAGTGGTGATGGTGGAGGAGGGGTTTGATAACAAAGAGATGGCTGTCCGCTGCCCACACCTCCCGATGGCAGAAACCTACACTGTAGGAACGCACCAGTTGCACTTGTAGTACAGTAGCCCTACTGTCATTCCGTGTAGCTGTCCCACCGTGGGAATTCGACATTCCCCCGACCCGGGCGCTGAACGCAGAAGGACCAAAGGTAGAGCAAGGACGGCAGACGAGCACTCCACCACTGCAGCCACATTGCGCGCCACTGCAGCGCAACCGCTTCGTTCGGATGGAAAGGAATAGCCTCGTGCGATTGCGAGGAACTCCACGTCACCCGCCACCAATGGGTGATGATCAGCAATGGAAAGATGATCACCAATGGCAACGCCACCCTGCCAATGTCACATTCCGTCGTTGTTACACCAATAGGAGCACTCTCCGCTCCCGCACCAATGTGCAGCACAACGCGCCCTCTCATGCTATGATATTTCTCCTGGTCACGTCCATTAGACATCACAACTCGTTCGTTTCTTGCGTGGACGCCTAGAATTCAATAGGCTAACCACACGACCATGTCTCTCGTTATCGTCGTCTCGCTCCTCTTGCTCTGCGCATCGCAGCCGTCCGTCACGGCGCAGATGCCCAACACGCCAGGCGGGCAGATCGGCGGCGAGGCGGGTATCGAGCGAGCCATGTCGCTGTTCCGAGTGAGTTCGTGCTTGCTCCCGTCGGCACACAGCACAGCTTACTGATGGCGGAAAACATCTCAAGAGCTTAGCTTGCGTGTCGTGGCTGCTGCGAATCGATAAGCCGAAACACATTTGACTTCCCCTCTCCCTCTTCCTCTCCCTCGAGACCTCCCCTCTCCTCGGCGCTCCTCGCTCCTCCGTCCTCGCGTCGCGCTCTGTCTTCCCTTGAACTCATCACTCCCCACCTCGTCTTGATGCGTCAGGTATGGGAGGAGGCCTACGGATTGAAACACGACATCCACATGCCGCCCTCAAAAATCACCTTGCCGTCCATCGTGCCGCCCGCGCCGCACATGGAGGAGTGCGAGGCGCTGACAGCGGCGAGGACGGCGTCGGAGAGACGCGAAGGCAACGGACAGCCTCCTCTGTGGGCGCGGCCGGCTGTTAACTGCTCCGAATGCAACCCGCAACCACCATGGGTACTAAGACTACTACCATGGCAAGCACCACCATGCTCGTCCGACGAGGAGTCCTTCCACTGGGATTGTAGAGGCACAAAGCCTTGTTCAAACAACAACTACAGACGCCAGGCATACGTCAAAATGTGTAACAGTTATTGATGTATTCACTCTTTTTTGTCCCTCAAAGAACGTTTTTTTCCCGTCCTTCCTTACCTCGCATGTCATGTGAGGACTTGGCCCGCACGAGCATGTCGTGCTGTCGTAATACTTCTCCAGGGAAGGTGGGTGTAAGAAAGACAGAAAAGTAGGAGATCTTCTCTCCAACTACCCATCACCATCCCCTGCCCACCCCCTCCCAACCCCCAGGTGCGCGGATCCGACGCGGACAACCTTCCGCTGACGCGCGTGGCGCAGCGCGATCTGTGGGAGCACCAGATCTTCAACGGCCGCTGCGACGGCAAGCGCCTGCTTGTCGTGCCCTGGCCCTCCGCGGGCCGTCACGGCGTGGGATCGCAGGTGCGAGAGAGCGTCGCAGGTGCCTGACGGGGTGGGACAGTGAAGTTTGGAAAGAAAAGTGAGGTCATTGGATTTTAGGTGGGTTTAGGGGCTTGCAAACGAGAGTCGGTGTGCTCCCAGTGGACGTGGACTGGCTGCTCACTTGGTTTCCCTCCCTCCCTTCATCCCTCCCTCCCGCCCGTTCGCTCTCCTTCCCTGACTCCCCCACTCCCGTTTCCCTCTCTCCCTTGCAACCACCCACCGGCACATCAGATACACATAATGAGCGCTTTCCTGAGCCTGGCCTTGATCCACAACCGCGTACTTGTGCCCACGCCTGGCTCGTACGACCGCGCGCTCACCGAGATATGCAATGGTGAGCTCTACAAAGCTTGCCTCTGTGCGGACCTACTCACTACCTCCAGGTCGTGTACACATCTGTAGGTATGTGTACGTTTTTATGTGCATTGGTTTGGATGTACACGTTTCTACAAAAATGTACTACGTGGGAGGTGTGTTACAATGTCCCAATGATCCTCGCTCATAGCGTAAGAGAAGCAAATCTGGAAATTGGAAAACTCTTGAAGCAACCAAGAGGAACGAAACTGATAAATCTTCCTGGAAACCAGCAGTAGAACTGGAAAATGTACTAGTGGAGGTGTGTTACGATGAGTGCCTTCTATATGCGCTGCGCACTGACGAGTATATTTGTGGATCCATGCGTTCCTACGTACATTTGCATCTCTGTTTCTGCCAATGTGTCTCTGCTTTTCTATGGGTTATTGTGTGTATCTACGTGGATCTGGTTTTCCAACACCGCCGCACTGTTAGCTAACTCCTCCCCCAACGCCCATTCCACATTGAATGGGTAAATTGCATCGGCGGCACCATGCCCAACCGCTTCCTTCTCCCACTCCATTCCCCACTTCCCACCCACCTCTCCCACGCTGCCCTCCCCCCCCCCCCCCCCCCCCCGCCCCTCCTTTCCCAGCCACGAAAATGAGCGGCTCGTGGAATTGCTACTTCTTCCCCATGGTGAATCCCGACTGTGAGCGCGTGGTGACGGATATGATCGCCAAGAACACCATGCCGGCCATGTCCTCGGACGACAAGGCCCATGACCGCATTGCTGCATCGGAAGACCTGGTCGCTCACCTTGACGCCAACGCTGACAGGGAGCTGTCCTATGAGTCCCGCGCTGCCAAGTGAGTGTTAGGGGAAGGGGAAGGGGGAGGGGAGGGGGGAGGGGAAGGGCAATGGGGGAAGGGTGTGGGGTGTGAAGGGTGCATGGAATGTGGGGTGGGTGCATGGCTGAAGGTCGCCATTGAGCTGGTTATAAATCCTTTATTAATAATTCAGGGCCGTGGGGGGCCGAAGTCTCAGAAATATATACCTTCGCGTCCTCTTTTTTCTCGCACCTCTCCCCACATCTCCCCCCCCCCCCCCCTCTTCCCCCGTCCATGTGCCCAATCGCTTCCCAACCTCTAAGCCCTTGTAACTACTATCTGAGAGCTCTTCCCCAACCCCACCCCTCACTTTGCCAGGCTATGGGGCGATGCACACGAAAGGGCCCCAGTTGAGTTGGACGTCATGGGGGAGCAGCCGCGCGTTGACATCAGATACAAGATGGTGCGTGCGTGCATGTGTGTACGCCCGCTTTCCCCGAGTGCGATTGTACAAATGAATCTCTGAATGATACACAATTGGTTAAAAAAAGCAGGGGTAACAAATCGAATCATTCACATGGCAGCCGGATCACCTCATGTCCCATAACCTCCCTCTTCCCGCCTCTCTCTCCCACCCTTCCCGGCCCTCCCTCTCCCCTTCCCTCCCCTCCCCGCCCTCTCACCCCCCCCTGCCCCTCCACCCCCTCATCTGCGGCCCTCGGTCGCCCCAGACGAACTGGTGGCGCTCCCAGACGACGCGCTTCATGATGCGCTGGCCCTCACCGCACATGTGCCACGAGACCAACAAGGTGCGCCACACCGCCTACGGCCTGCACACCGCATCGTACCTCGCGCGCTACCATGAAACCCAGTCCGAGATCATCCGGGCCGTTGCAGGCAACGCGTCCGAGACAGACGAATCGAAGAAGCTTGTCGGGATCTCCACTGGCCCTCCGGGGCCCATCGAGACTCAAATATGGCCTGTCCGGGGCTTCGAGGGGTGCAATGAGACGTGCATGAGTGCGGAGGATGCCAAGGCGATAAAGGATACTTATGCATCGGTGGGAGGCGAGCCGTTTGTGATGCGGCCGATTGTGAGCCTGCACGTGCGGCAGAGCGACAAGAATGTTGAGATGCGCCTGTCGCCGTTCGCCACGCACATGTTCCTTGTGCATCGGCTGCGGCGCTTCTCGCCGGACCTGCGATACGTGTGGCTCAACACGGAGGTGGAGGTGCGTGGGGCAACAAATGCTTACATTGCTCACGCCTTACGTTCCACCTCTTTATCGCTTTGCAATGGCTTCGCTTACCTTCCCTCACCCGCGATCCACCCCTTTTTCTGCTTTTCCTCCCGTGTACCTTCATCCCCACATTCTGTCCCACCCACCTGACAGTCTGTGGTGAAGGAATCAGCATTGTACACTGACTGGAAGTTCCTCTACTCCTCCAACGCGCGCCTGCCCGTGGATTCCGGGTCAAATCGCGAGTATGAGTTCAAGCAGACAGTTACAGAGAGTTTCGCAAGCGCTATCATTGCATCGCAGTGCGACTACTTTGTGGGTGCGCTTGGTTCTAACTGGAGCCGTTTGATAAACGAGCTGCGCTCGACAAATGGGAGGTTGCTGAACGGTTTTTTCTCGGTGAATATTGGGTTCTGGTAGTCTCTCAAGCCCTTGGCCCGAACTACAGATCCCGCACCGCAAATGTGTTATCAGCTGTTGTAAGGAATTTTCTCAGCATTCCTTATAGAGTCCGACTACATCTTATACAATCACAGCTACTACTAACGAGGCTTCTCCAACTTCGCCCGCACTGTTTTGCCAAACCTCGCACTGCTGGCCCGGTCGTGTCGGCCTACGCTTCGGGACTAGCCCGAGCCTCGCTGTCAGCGTAGCACTAGCTAGCTCGCGCGCACCGCGTTGCCGTTTGCATGTTTCGCGTATAAATGTTCGCTCATGCCTTCGCTCACATTTTGTACTCGTTTGACACCTTAGTGCAATAGTGCAATCCTCGCTACTTCGATTCATTGCACCCGTAACAGTTGTAAAAGAGAGTGCGCAGGTAAACGAATAACGAGACTGTGATTAACTGATCTGAGAATACAATAAAGCCTAAGATCTGAGAGTGCGCAGGTAAGCCTCGAGCAACGTAACGAGCCTTGAAGACAGGCGGAGAACCCGGCGGCCGCTTCACCCTGAAAATCCACATGCCACTGACGATGTTCGCCCCAGGTGGGGGAACCTCGTCGACGTAGGTGCCTGTAGACTTCCAGGAAACCATCTGTGCGTCCATGGCTGACTGCCACTGTGAGGTTTAGGGACCCTCGATCGCCTCAGCGTACGATCGAGGAGTCGGGATGTCTGGTGCATCCGGGTCTCCCTCAGGGGCAATCAGCATGGACACGAGATGAGGCGCAGCGGCTGCAAGACACTCAAGGTCCTCGTGTCTGTCCTCAAGGACGTCCGTGCTAAGAGCACACTCACCCCCGACGGATGGAGGACAGACAGACTCAGACTCAGCAACAAGACTGGCAGCGTAGTCTAGACGAGAGTGAGCAGCAAAGTCGACAAGCTCAGCAACTAGGGCAGACGCAGCATCAGACTCAAAAGAAGGGTCAGTGACAGCAGTGACCAGGAGACGCGTGACAGTAGGACTGGCAGCACGAAGAGAGTCAGACTCCGGGTCAGCAAGAACAGGAAGAGAGGACGCAGGAGGAGACGGCAGAGGGACACGCTGTGGAGCAGTGGAAGGACGCAGAGTCATATAGTGTGTCTCAGGGAGAGGTGGAGGACGCTTACGCGGAACACGGCGACCAGTGCGAGCAGCACGAACAGGTGACACAGGACGAGACACAGGCGACACAGGACGAGACTCAGGCTCACGACGCTCTGTAAGACCGCCTGTCGGACCAGTGTAGGGAGAAGGACCAGGAAGTGGCGAGGGAGGGGGTAGTTGTGACTGCGACTGGACAGGCGGAGGACACTCTACGGAGGGAGGAGGACTAGGAGGAGGCGGCAGACCAAGAACCTGCTGAAGGAGCGGAACGAAGTACGGTCGCGGCCATGAAGTGCCCCTAGCAGCAGCAGAGACAGCACTAGAACCTCCATCAGCTCCAGTAGAACATCCAGCAGCTCCAGCAGCACCTCCAGCACCTCCAGCACCTCCAGCAGTACCTCCAGCAGCTCCAGCTGCACCTCTAGCACCTCCAGCAGTACCTCCAGCAGCTCCTGTACCTCCAGTAGCACCAAGAGCACCTCCAGTAGCTCCAGGACCTCCAGCAGCTCCAACACCTCCAGCAGCACCAGCAGCACCAGTAGCACCAGTAGGAGCTCCAGGACCTCCAACAGTAGTAGGGTCTCCAGCGGGCTGCACCTCAACACCGGGAGCTCCACTCCGGAGGCCGCAGCGCCGAGCGTACCACTCACGCAGCTGCTGTGAAGAAGGAGCACCAGCAGGCGTAGTACGGTCAGTCTCAAAGCCCCCAGCCTCAGCACCTCTAGGCGCAACACTGCCAGTCGCAGTACCTCCAAGCTCAGCACCCGCAGTCTCCGCACCCCAAGTCTCAGCACCCCGAGTCTCAGCACCCTCAGTCTCAGCACCCCCAAGCTCAGCGCCCCCAGAACCAGCACCCCCAAGCTCAGCGCCCCCAGTAGTAGCACCTCGCACAGGACCAGACTCAACAGCTATCTCGACAGCCTCGACCGGGTCTACATGGGAAACACCTGAGGGAGCAGGACCCTAGGGAGGGAGGGGGTCTACCGAAGCTGCACCTGGCGTGAGGAAGAGCGGCAGAGGGGGGAGCGGGGCAGTGCGGTAGGGGAAGAGACGGTAAAAGGGAACCGACTCGTCAAAGGTGACGTCCTGAGAGGCGAAGACCCGGCGCGAGGTGGGGTGGTAAAACTGCCAGCCAGGCGCGTCAGGGACAAAGCCAAGGAAGACACAGGGAACGGCACGGGAGGAGAGCTTATCCGCGGACGTATCGCGGACAAAGGCTCGACATCCCCAGACTCGGAACACCGACGCATCGCCAACCTCCCCCGTCCAACGCAGGGTAGGCGAGGTCTCCGGAACAGAGACACGGGGCCAGAGGTTGAGATGATGCGCGGGGTACTGCACTACAAACGGCCACAAAAAATGGGGGGCAGCCGCATGGATCATGGAGGTACGAGCGACCTCCATGACAAGACCAATGCGGCGCTCAGCAATCCCATTCTGCTGTGGAGAGGCCGGGAGCGTGAACGAGTGGGTGATGCCGTGCTCCGCACAGTAGGCTGCCAAGAGGTCAGAGGAAAACTCGCCACCTCTGTCAGAGTGCAGACGCAAGACTGGAAAGTCCGACTGGAACCGCTGGCGAAGCTGGAGACGAGCAGCACGGATCTAGGGGATCAAGACATCAGGGACCTCACCCTTGGTACGCAAGGGGAAGACCGTGGTGTAGCGCGTGTAGACGTCGACGACCAACAGAAAGTACCGCTCGTGGCCCTGTCCCCGGACGAGGGCGGGGCCCCACACGTCAAGGTGGAGAGTCTGCAGGGGAGCCTCTGTGGGAGGGAACGAGGAGGAGTGAGGAGCGGCGCGCTGCCGCCCCTCGACAAAGGGAAGACAAGGAGGAGCAGGCGAGGGTGGGAGGGGAGGGAGAACCCTGGGAAGACCAGAGACATGGTACCTGGAATGCATGCCGCGAAGGCGTTGCACTGACGGGTGACCAAGGCGGTGGTGCCAGAGGATAGTCCTGTGTGACAGGGAGCGACACGAGCAGGGGACCGACAGCTGACCTGACGCAGACGCAGACGCAGCTACCTGAGGGGACTCAGTGGTCAGTGTGTACAAGTCCAACCCCGGCTGCCGAGTGAAGGTAGCGAGGTGACGACCCGTCCGCGCACACGTGCAGTGCGTCACTCGCTCGTAGGCCGGGGTGAACTGGTGAACACCCGCGTCCTGGAGCGCGGAACCCGCCACCAAGTTCGTAGAGAATGAGGGGAGGTAGAGGCTCGACAGCATGCCAGACGGGACAGCAGGACAAGGGAGGGCAATGGTGGAGGTCGCAAGGACCGGACCTCCTGAGGGGTCAGCCAGGGAGACGGCAACCGGTCGAGGAAGCTGCTCCAGGGCAGTGCGGTCGCGGAAGAAACAGCGTGAAGCACCGGAGTCCAGTGTGAAGGTGTGCAGTGCCTCAGTAGGTGCGGTACCAGCAGACGTAGACGCACTAGCACCTAGGGTAGCAGCCTCACCAGGACGTGGAGCAGCAGACGCACTAGCACCTAGAGCTGCAGCCTCACTGGTCCCAATGCCCGTGTCGGGCGGTACACTCAGGTAACAGTCACCCTCAGCACTAATAGTCAATGCATACATAGCAGCAAGGATAGCATCATAATCAAGAGCAAAGATATCAATCCCCTTCCTAAGCAGATCAGCCCAGCGGGGCAGCTCAGAGGCGTCAGGGAACTGCTCGCGCCAGGCGTCGTCAAGGCGAAAGAAGCAGCGCTGCGCCGTGTGAAACTTCCCACAAGTTTGGCCAGTGCGGTCACCTGTGCGGATGACATACGGGCAGGTACCCCCTCCCCCAAACCCCCCACGCTAAGAGTACCACTCACGGAGTTGCTGGGGCGAGGGAGTCTCGCCGGGGCGCTGCTGCTGCTGCCTCTGGCCACCGCCAAACCCCCCACGCTGCACCGCTCCACTGTGCCCGCCACCCGCTCCACCGCCGCCACCACTGCCACCACCACCTCCACCACCCCCTCCACCACCGCCGCCGCCACCACCCCCTGTGCCGCCACTGACCCCCCCACCACCCGCGCCACTCCCACTCCCGCCACCACCCCCGCCCCCCCCCACCTCCTCCACCGCCGCTACCCCCACCTCCACCTCCACCACCCCTGCCCCCCTTGCCCCTGCCGCCCTTGCGTCTCCCACTAGGAGCAGACGCGGCCCCGACCCCCTCAGCTCCGAGGTAGTCGACAGCAGCAGATGCAATGGAGGGGAGGAGGGGGGAGGGGGAGCACCCCTTAAAGAAGGGGGTGCGGGGGTCACCACGAGAGGCACCTACAGCTACAATGCTCTTCTCAGCTGCTAGGAGCTTCTTCTCGAGGAGGTCGACAGTGGGATCAATGGGGGAGAGGGCGAGAAACTAGTCCCTGACAGTGCAAAGGGAGTCAGGGAGGCGGGTGACAAGATGGTACAGTGTGAGGTACATCGGGGGGGGGGGGGGGGTTCTTGGCGAGGAAATCGGGGGGGAGCGCGGCACGGTAGCGGAGGTCACTGGTACGGAGGTGGGTGATGAGGTCAGCTACAGTGGCAAAGGCGGACAGGTCAGGGAAGAGGTAAGGCAGTGAGAGATGGCCTATAGCAGCAGTGGCAGGGGAGGAGTAGCGCGCGCCTACTACGTCGTACAGCTCCTTGGCGGTCTTATGCTGTCCGAAGTGCTCGCGCTCATCTAACGGTAGAGCGTGAGCATCACGGGTCTGCCACTGGGAGCGAGCAGTGCTGTCAGCAATAGCGGGAGGTGCGGGAGCAGTGCCGGACGTGTGGTCATAGAGGGAAACATCGTCCTTGGCAGCAATCTGGAGGTACAGGTGCAGGTCATCAAGCCAGACGGGCGGCCCTCGGCGTCAAAGGTGAGAACAGTGGGACTGGCCATAGTGGCAGTAGCAGGTAGCAGTAGTAGCAGCAGCAGCAGTAGCAGTAGCAACAACAGTAGCAGAAGCAACAGTAGTAGCAGTAGGAGCAGGTAGGGCGGCGCGACTCGGTCAGGGCGGCGCGGCTCGGGCGATGCGACTCGGGCGACGCGACTCGGGCGGCGCAACTCGGGCGGCACGGCTCGGGTGGGTAGGGTGGCGCGACGCCGGGCCTATGCTCGGTGCGCGGCGGCGCCTAGGGTGCGGCTGCGCGCGGGCCGCGGCTGCATTCTAGCGCGGGCTGCAGCAGCCGGTGCGCGATCGCCACGGGGCCTACGGGCGGGCGGCTATGGGTCGCGCGTCGGCCTAGGGGCTAGCGGGGCCTACGGGCGACGGCCTGCTGGGGCTCGCGAGAAAAAATCGAGCCGCCCTAGGCGGCGGTTTTCCTACGCGCGCTAAAACGGTGGGGCCGCGCTCGGGCTGCTAGCGGGCTGCACACGGGCAGCGTGAGAGGAGAGCGCACGAGGGCGCACAAGAGGAGAGGCGCATGAGGGCGCTAAAAAAAAAAAGAGGGCACACGAGGGCACCACTAGCGGAACGGTGGGCCCTTAGGTCTAGAACCTATAGCTCTTAATACCATGTTAGAAACAAGAAGTGAGTGAACTATGAAAAGTTGGAGTACAAGTAGCAAACCCTAGTTTTGTGTACCCCCTAAGGCTAACCCACTATAGCCTACACAACAACAACACATATGGTGTTTGACATGACGGCCCTGCCCCTGACTGGCTTCCTCTTGTTCAGTCTCACGGTGCTGCACTGTGGGCCATGTCTGCTTCTCAGTTGCTAGATCTCTTAGGAACTCTTCATGCTATGTATGCTGCTGTTGACTCTAGTGCTTCTGACTCTGTTTACTTGTCTGTTGTTAGCTTAGGTGCTAGGGTTGATGAGGTGCCTGTTGCTAGTGTAGGTACTTGTGTAGACACTAGTCCAGGAGCTGCTCCGTAGGACGCTTCGCTGAATTTCACTCTGGACTTCAGAGCTTCACAGTGTTTCTTCCGCGTCCGCACGACACTTACCCCGCTTCCTACGCCGGTCTTTGTAGCACTGGCTGATCCCACTTCGGGACCAGTCACTGCTCGCTCCACTACTACGCTTCCGTGCTCGGCTGTTCCCTCGGGATTCCTGACGGGCTTCCACGTCCCCTCGTTCTCAAGGAACTTGGTGGGCGTGAGGCCACTCGTGAGTCAGCACATGGGTGTGTGGATTGAGCCTTCTGGCGAGACTGCGGTTTGTGTCGACGGGGACATGTACGCGCCTCTCGCCACTTTACCGCTGAGCCAGGCTCTGGTCTCTACACACTTCACACTGGCTCCCGAGGGTAGCAGCAGCAGCAGCTGCCCCGCCACCTGTCGCAGCCCTCCGTCAAGTCCCCGCGTCTCACCAGGTAGCCGCCTCCCCCCATGTAGCTGTATCTGGTAGGGTTTTAGTGTCTGGTCCGGTTGCTGCGTCTTGCTCGTGTCGGTCGCTTGCCCACCCCACCGTTCTATACCACCACCCCCTTAGTTACCCGTCCCTTCCTCGCCTCCGCACTATGTCTAGTCAGCGTCTCGTCTTAGGCCTCCCGCGAGTCCTTCCGTCGCTGCCGCCTTCGCTTGCACCACCTTGTGCCCCTTGTGTCGAGGGTCGGCTGCGCGCCACCCCTCACTCCTCCCTTCGTCCACCCACTGAGCCCTTTGAGACTCTCCACTTGGACGTTTGGGGTTTTGGCTCTTGTCTTGGCCTTAAGTGAGAGAGTTTCTGTCTAGTGGTCATTGACGACTACTCTCGCTACACCACCGTGTTTCCTCTGGCGAAGAAGTCCGAACTGACTTCTACGCTGATCCGGTGGTTACTCACCAATGAGGGCACTTGTAGCCGTCGTGTCTGTTGTCTTCACTCCGACCGTGGAGGTGAGTTTTGCTCCGGCATTCTCGTCGGATTCTGTCGCGAGCACGGCATTCGTCAGTCCTGGACACTTCCAGAGTCCCCACAGCAGAATGGGGTTGCTGAGCACCGCATAGGCTTGGTCATGGATATCGCACATACCTCCATGATTTACGCCCATGCGCCCCATTTTCTGTGGCCCTACGCGGTTCGGTACGCCGCTCACCAGCTGAACAGCTCGCCACGTGTCTCACGGCCAGGGGCTTCACCGGGTCCTCTGGTGTTGCGTCGCGTTTTTGTGTCTGGGGCTACTTGGCACGTGTTCGCGATACCTCAGCAGACAAGATCTCGCCTCGCGCCATTCCCTGTGTCTTCCTTGGCAGGACTCCTCTGACTTCACCTTTTATCACCCTCCCCTTCACTAGTTCTTTGACTCCCGTGACATCCGTTTTGACGAGCCGGTCTCCTACTATACCAGGTACCCTTGTCGCGGTCTCCCGGTACCCCCCCCCCCCCCCCCCCCCCCCCTCTTCCTGGCTCCCACTCCCCCCCAAGCTCCTCAGGTACCGCCTCCCCCCCTTGGTCCAGCCCCGTCAGGTGTGTCACACGCTACCCCCCCCCCCCCCCCCCTCGTTAGCCCCTCAGGTCTCGCCCCCTTCCCCGCAGTCCTCCTCCCAGTTACCGCAGCAGCCGTCAGCACTTCCTCCCCAGGCTACTGCAGACTCTGAGGGCACTGGTGTTGGTCGCGCGGACTCTCGAGGTGCTGCCCTGGGGGTGCTGGAGTTGGTGTTGAGAGTCTGCTTGCACGGGGGCCTGGTGCTGAGGGTGCTGGAGTTGGAGCTGAGCCCGTGCCTGCAGTGGTTTCCAGTCTTCCCGGAGCTGGTGCTGGTCGAGCTGTCTCAGGGGGTGCTCGGACTGGGGATGCGGGTGCGCCCCCCGTTGGACCAGGAGGGTCTGGGACTGGCTGCATTGCTGCTGGTAGTGCTGGCTCTGGAGGTGGTGCGACTGGTGCTTCAGAGAGCGGTCATGGGGCTACCACCGCCCCGGACATTATCCCCCCCCCCCACCCCTACCCGATCCGGCTCCAGGCCCGTGTTCGCCATGCATGTGAGGAGCAGCTGGAGTTGTAGTGAGAGGAGAGAGAGTTGGAGCGACAGCAGCTGGAGCTACAGCGGCTGGAGGAGCAGCAGTAGCAGCCGCAGTTGGAGGAGCAGCCGCAGCAGCAGCATCAGGAGCAATAGCAGCCGCCACCTCCTCCTCTTGTCTTTGGCCTTCGGGCCCTCGGTCTCCCCTTCCCCTCTCCTCCCTCGGACAGTTACTTCGTGTTACTTTTGCCAACCCTCACACAGCTCTTCTTAGCAAAGTCAGCCTACATGGCCCAAACCTCGTTGCCAGCATTGCACTGGTTGCCTCGCACGCAACGCAACACATTACCGTTTATTGTTGTCGCCATAAAATGTTCGATCATGCTTTCGCTCTCATGCGTTCGCCTCTTCGGTGCGATCCTCTCTCCCTCCCTCAACACTAGGGGCATCTCCCTCCACCCCTCACTCGAAACACATAGTGCAAGTTATGGATTTCTGACTCCCTGATTTCTGCAAGTTATTGATTCCCTCCACACTTCCCTCCCTGACTCCCTGAATTTCTTGATGTCCGTAGTATTGAGGCAGAATCGTTTTGCAGTATCGTTGCAACAGAGGGTAGGGGGTGTGCAGTTATAAAGAACAGGGTGTAAGAACCAAATTTGACAAGTGTCCGACAATTGGGTGCTTGCGATTTCTTGGCACTCTGCCAACAATGCTGACTGACGTGACGAGTGTCAAAAAACCAAGTTGACATGACACTGCCCACCAGACTCAACGGCTCCCCCCTCCCCTCGCTCGACCCAGTTCAGCTTGACTTCACTCTCGGCCGGATCGGCCGGCGGATGTCAAGAGAACGGCTCTGGCAGACGATATCCGTCGACGACATTCCTCGAGATAAAAGTAACATCGGTTACAGACAGTTCGAACAGTTTTCGCTTAACTGACGACTCCCGTCAGCTGTTAACGGACGCCGCCGGCAAATGTCAAGGGTAACACCACACAGAAGTCACCATAGCTGACCATCCATACACCCACCCAGCCATGCAGCAGAAGAGCCAAGACGTCACTGACTTGGGTGTGCACCTCATTCGCTAAAGGGCGGTTCGATAAAGAGCTAAGTGTGATGATGGTGGAGGAGGGGTTCGATAAAAGAGAGTCCGCTGTCCGCACCCCGCAGAATCCAACAGGAACGCAGCAGTTCGACTTGTAGACTTGAGATGTTCCCCCAAGCAGAGCACTGAATGCCACAAGGACCAAAGGCAGAGCAAGGACGGCAGATGAGCACTCCACCTGTGCGCGCCACTGCAGCGTAACTGCGTCGGATCGGAAGAAATGGGCTCGTGCAATTGCGAGGAACTCCACGTCATCTCGTGATGGGCCACCACCAATGGGATGATCACCAATGGGTACGCCACCCCGCCAATGTCACATCCCGTCGTTGTTACTCCGAGCACTCTCCGCTCCCGCACCCATTCGCAGCACAACACGTCCTCTCATGTTACGATATATCTCGAGGTCACTTCCATTAGACATCTCGTCTCGTTCTCTTTTCGTTTCTTGCGAGGACAACTCACGACACCATGTCTCTCGTTATCGTCGTCTCGCTCCTCTTGCTCTGCGCATCGCAGCCGTCCGTCACGGCGCAGATGCCAGGTGGGCAGATCGGCGGCGAGGCGGGTATCGAGCGAGCCATGTCGCTGTTCCGAGTGAGTTCGTGCTGGCTCCCGTCGGCACACAGCTTGTTGATGGGAGCACATTTAATGAGCTTAGCTTGCGTGTCGCGGCTGCAAACTGATAGACCAAAGCACAGTTGGCTTCCCCTCTTCCTCTCCCTCTTCCTCTACCTTTCCCCCTCCTCCTTCCTCTCCCTCTCCTCGCCCCTCGCTCCTCACCCTTCGTTCCTCGCTACTCCGTCCTCGCGTCGCGCTCTGTCTTCCCTTGAACTCATCACTCCCCACCTCGTCTTGATGCGTCAGGTATGGGAGGAGGCCTACGGATTGAAACACGACATCCACATGCCGCCCTCAAAAATCACCTTGCCGGCCATCGTGCCGCCCGCGCCGCACCTGGAGGAGTGCGAGGCGCTGACAGCGGCGAGGACGGCGTCGGAGAGACGCGAAGGCAACGGACAGCCTCCTCTGTGGGCGCGGCCGGCTGTTAACTGCTCCGAATGCAACCCGCAACCACCATGGGTGGGTAGAATATGATGGCATGGCACCGTGGGTTCTACTATATGATGGCGCGATGGGTACTATTAGTACGGCTACCATATGCTGTTGCTGTTGTTGTTGTTGTTGTTGTTGTTGTTTTTTTTTTTTTTTTTTTTTGCGCCTAGAAAAACGTCTGTCTTCGTCCTTCCTTGCCTCGCATGTCATGTGAGGGCTACTAGGCACGAACGAGCATGTCATGTGAGGGCTTCTAGGCACGAACGAGCATGTCATGCTGTCGTAGTACTTCTCCAGGGAGGTGGGTGCAAGAAAGGCACAGGTGATAGAGACAGGGGTGTAAGGAAGACTAAGGTGTAAGGAAGACAAGTAGGAGATCTTCTCTCCAACTACCCATCACCATCCCCTGCCCACCCCCTCCCAACCCCCAGGTGCGCGGATCCGACGCGGACAACCTTCTGCTGACGCGCGTGGCGCAGCGGGATCTGTGGGAGCACCAGATCTTCAACGGCCGCTGCGACGGCAAGCGCCTGCTCGTCGTGCCCTGGCCCTCAGCCGCTACCCACGGCGTTGGCTCGCAGGTGGGAGAGGGCGTGCCTTATGGAAGGGGCCGTGAGAGTCGGAAAGGAAAGTGAGTTCGGTTGCTAGGTGGGTGGATATTGAGGGGAGTGCAATCGGACGAAAGTCTGGGAGCTCAGGAGTTGGGAATGTCTCCCTGGTCAGTTGGTGTCCCTTCCTCCCTCCCTCTCTCCCTCCCTCCCTCCCTCCCTCCCTCCCGTTCCCTCTCTCGCGTTTCCCCCTCTCCTTGCACGCACCCACCGGCGCAATCAGATTCATCTGATGAGCACTTACCTGAGCCTGGCCTTGATCCACAACCGCACACTCGTGCCCACGCCTGGCTCGTACGACCGCGCGCTCACCGAGACATGCAATGGTGAGCTCTCTCTCCGCCCAGCTTATGCTCAGCCTGTCTTTGTGCCCTGCGCGCAGACCTACACCCTACAACCAACGAGCCTCCATTTCTGTGTATGTGGATATGTGCACGTTTTTACCGTATGTGTATCCGGTTGGATAGACGCGTGTTTCTATGGGTGTGTAATGCGTGGAGCTTCGTTACAATGTGTTTGTGCTGTCTGTTGTCTGTCTATGCGTACTGACATGACATGTGTCTTCGTGGATCTCTGCTTGTTTTTGCGTTTCCATCTGTGTCAGGGTGTCTCTGGTGACTGTCTATGCGTTTTTGTGTGTATGGTACGCGGATCCGTTCCTCCAACGCCGTACTGTGATTAACTTAACCATCTCCTCCCCCGACGCCTAGTCCCCACCGAGTCTCTTTATCACGTCAATGCCCTGCTCAACCGCTTCGTTTTCCCACACCCTCTCCCCGTTCCCCACGCACCACCCCCACACGTCCCCCCCACTCCCTCCGCCCTCCTTTCCCAGCCACCAGGACAGGCGGGTCGTGGAATTGCTACTTCTTCCCCATAGTGAATCCCGACTGTGAGCGCGTGGTGACAGACATGATAGCCAAGAACACCATGCCCGCCCTCTCCTCGGACGAGAAGGGCCACGACCGTGTCTCTGCCTCGGACGACCTTGTCGTTTACCTTAACTCCAGCTGCGACAGGCAGATGACCTACGAGTCCCGCGCTTCCAAGTGAGTCTCGGGTAAGGGGAACAGAGTAAGGGGAATGGGGTAAGGGGAAGGGGAAGGGGGGAAGGGGAAGGGGGTAAGGGGAACGGGGTAAGGGGGAGGGGGGAAGGGGAAAGGGGGAATCAGAAGGGGGAAGGGGAAGGGGGGAAGGGGAAGGGGGGAAGGGGAAGGGGGAAGGGGAAGGGGGGAAGGGGAAGGGGCGAAGGGGAAGGGGGGAAGGGGAAGGGGCGAAGGGGAAGGGGCGAAGGGGAAGGGGGGAAGGGTGTGGGGTGTGAAGGGTGCAGGGAATGTGGGGTGGGTGCATGGCTGAATGTCGCCATTGAGATGGTTCTGAGGCCCAGGCTAATGATTTAGGGTTGTGGCAAGGTGAAGGGGGTCAGGAGGTGTGTGCAGGGCCAAAGTGCCAGGAGGATATACATTCGCGTCCTCTATTCCCTCGCACCTCTCCCGCCCTCTCCCTCTTCCCCCTCTCCTGCTCCTTACCTCTGCCACCCACTCTCCCTCCCTCCCCCTCTCCCACTCTCCCCCCTCCCTCCCTCCCCCTCTCCCACTCTCCCCCCCTCCCTCCCTCCCCCTCTCCCACTCTCCCCCTCTACCTCTCTCCCGCACTCTTGTACTCCTGCGCTCCCCCACACCCCTCTCCCCTCCCCTCCTCCATGCTCCTATTTGCTTCCCAAGCTCAAAGCCCCACCCCCGCCTCCCACTTTCCCAGGCTATGGGGCGATGCGTACCTGAGGGCTCCGAATGTGCTGGATCACATGGGGGAGCGGCCATATGTTAACAATATATACCTCATGGTGCGTATGTGTGCGCGCGCTTGCGCGTGGGTGCGGGTGCACAAATGAATCAGCATCGTACAAAATTAGCTGGCTGGTACGCAGGGTTAACATATCATATCATCCACATGGTAAAAGCCCACCCAGACCACGTCCTTGCCCCGTAACCTCTCTCTTCCGGCCACCCTCTCCCACCCTTCCCCCACCCTCCCTCTCCCCTTCCCTCCCCTCCTCTCCCTCTCCCCCTCTCCCTCTCCCTATCCTCCCTCTCCCTCCCCTTACCCCTCCCTGTACCCCTCCCCCGCTCACCTGCATTCCTCGGTCACCGGGCAGGTGAACTGGTGGCGCTCGCAGGTGACGCGCTTCATGATGCGCTGGCCCTCGCCGCACATGTGCCACGAAACCAACAAGGAGCGCCATATGGCCTATGGGCTCCACACCGCGTCGTACCTCTCGCGCTACCTGGAAACGCAGGCCGAGATCATACGGGCCGTTGCAGGGAACGCGTCCGAGACAGACGAATCGAAGAAGCTTGTCGGGATCTCCACTGGCCCTCCGGGGCCCATCGAGACTCAAATATGGCCTGTCCGGGGCTTCGAGGGGTGCAATGAGACGTGCACGAGCGAGGCGGATGCCAAGGCGATAAAGGATACTTATGCATCGGTGGGGGTGGAGCCGTTTGTGATGCGGCCTATTGTGAGTGTGCACGTGCGGCAGAGCGACAAGGGGACTGAGATGCGCCTGTCGTCGTTCGCCACTCACATGTTCTTCGCGCATCGGCTGCGGCGCTTCGTGCCGGACCTGCGATATGTGTGGCTCAATACAGAGATGGAGGTGCGTGACGCGGGGCAACGAATGCTTGCCTACATTCCACCTCTTTCTCGCTTGGCAGCGGCTTCGTTTTCTTTCCCATGCTCGCCATCCACCCATTTTCCTGCCTTTCCTCCCATGTACCTTCCTCCCCACCTTCTCTCCCCCCCCCCCCCCCCCCTGACAGTCTGTGGTGAAAGAATCAGCATTGTACACTGACTGGAGGTTCCTCTTCTCCTCCAACTTGCGCCAGCCGGAGGATTCCAGGTCGAATCGCGAGTATGAGGGCAAGCAGTCAGTCACAGCGAGTTTCGCAAGCGCTATTATTGCGTCGCAGTGCGACTACTTTGTGGGTGCGCTTGGTTCTAACTGGAGCCGATTGATAAACGAACTGCGCGCCACAAATGGGCGGTTGCTCGCCGGATTTTTCACAGTCAACATGGGGGATTGGTAGCCACACGACTGCCTCTCCTGCTCAATCTATTTATCCCCCCTTGGAACCTGGGGTGTTTGTACTAATGTTTCTAGGATTATTTGGAGCGGGTTTCACGAACTAGATGAATAATGAAATGCACTCAAGTCGTACTGCCTATGTTAATGTCCGACCAGGGTCTACAAACGAGGTTCTGAAAGGTACCGAATGGGCATTGGCGCCTCGGGAGTGGATCAGGACAAAATTGTAGGCCGAATCCAGAGGAAATGACAGAGCGCCGTGTTTTCAAATTTCCAATTCCAATGGGCAGTGGTTTTGACAGCGCGTCGCTCTGCGCTCGCGTCCAATACCATGGGGCATAGTCTTTCTCAGTTTCCCCTTTGAAGTCCACAAATACAAGTTGTTTTTAGGTTACGGGGTATTAAAAATGTATTCGTCGTACATGGCAAACGCTCAGCTCGGGACAAAAAAAATATAACCCTCATGTATGGTATGCCACGAAGAGAGCATCAACCCTAAACACCATGAGGCAAGGTGTTTTGGGTTGATGCCTCCCAAATGGCTTGTCATCCGAGGGGGTTTTAGTTTTTCCACTGGCCTCTATACTGAATCCAGGTAATCTTAAGATTTGCCCTTCTATACGTTTGGTCATGAAAAACGGGAAACAGCAATATAAACTAACCGTGGGAATTGGGCGCGAGCGCGGTGGGAGTCGCTGTCAAAGCCACTGCCAAAAGGAATCGAAAACGCGCAAACACGGCGGTCCGTCACTTCCTCCCGAATCCAGCTGACGCGAGACCCTCACAATATCTCCGATATTGAAAGTCTGGAGCGTACGTGGATGTGTGTTCTCTATGCGTACTTACATCTATCCTCTTGGATCTGTACGCACCGAGTTCGTCCTACTCCGAGTTTGTCAGTTGACATCACTCTCAGGCCATTTGACCATGCGCTCGAGCATCCCTCCCTCGCATCAGCTGTACCAAGAGCTCGGAAGGACTCGTTATCCGGCTGGCATGCTCAGACTGACACACAATCCGGAGCAAATCGGCAGTGGAAGCGCACCTGCATTATACCTCTCCGGGAGTAGTCGTCACATTAGACGCATGGCATGCGGGAAGTCGTTCGAATAGTCGCGCATCGCGGCGGAACAGCGGACGTCTAGTCGCAAGTCTTAGGACTCCTCACTCGGAATGCGAACCAATCAGCGTTCAGGTGCCCTTGCGGCGAGTGCCTTCTCCGAGAGGCCTGACATCAAGTCGATGATATCAAGGCGACTCGAAAGTAGCCAGCGCCACGTGGTCATGCTCGCCGTCTCCTTCGTACTAGTGGTGAGCGCACATTCCGTTCGAGGCGTGCACTCAAGTACACGTGCACACTGGCGCCGAATAGAACAGTTGAGAGACACATATGGGGACGCACAGCTCTGAGAGACACAGCGTTTCGTTTCGACCAATAAGACACGGCCGCCCCGCACTCGATCGCCTGCATGAATGGCGGCGGTGCATCCCATCCGTGCTGTGTGCAGAGTGGCAATACCTCTGAGATAAGATAACACACATGCCTGGGACGCAGCCTGTTTTTGAGTCGACTCAAAAACAGGCGATACCTCTGAGATAACACACGCGCCTGGGACGCAGTCACGAGAGCATCTACATAGCTCAGCCCAGCCCCAGCGATATGCAACAGACTCCAAACCAAACCCTGAAGCCAACCTCCCTGAAGCCAACCTCCCTGAAGCCAACCTCCCTGAAGCCAACCTCCCCCCTCCCCTGGGATGGTTGGAAGTTTGAGATGGCGGTGGTTCGTGAGGGCACTGCACACCACCGTTAGAGGTGGTCCGCGTTACGAGTCGTCAGATTCAATTTAGACGGCAAGCCGACGAGCTGACGAGCCGCAAAGCTCTCTTGGCTCAGCCACCTCGTGCTCACTCCCACCCACCCACCCATGCTCACTCCCACCCACCCACCCATGCTACGACTTTTGAGGCGCCCCAAAAGTCCTTCCGCCCACCCATCTTCACTCCCATCCTCTCATTTGCAAACCCCAATCGAAGCATTCCGTTCCGCCCCCTTCCCTTCTCCACTTCTTCCGTTCCACCCATCCCCCCCCGCCTCCCTCTGTGTCCCCCCTGGCGCAGCTCCTCTCTCCGTTGTGTGCATCAGCGTGTTTTTTGAGAATTATAAAAATCACCCTGCAATTCCACCCCTCCTCCCCTCCTCCGTCTGTGACCCCCCTGGCGCAGCTCCTCTCTCCGCTGCGTGCATCAGCGTCCCCTCCAAGGCCATTTCTGGATTTCACATTCTCTGAGGCAAACTGTGGCACCTGGGCGGATGACTACTCTGCCCTGCACTCCCGCATCCGCGAAGCTGCCCGCGCCCACGCCAGCACCCTCGCTCAGACTGCTGCTGCCGCTGCTGTAGCTGCTGCTGCTGCGAACGCACCACCATTGCCGCCGCTGCCACCACTGTCGCCATCACCCCCACCACCGTCACCACCACCACCATCACCCCCACCACCGTCACCCCCACCACCGTCACCACCACCACCATCACCCCCACCACCACAACCCCTACTCTCCCCTCTTCCTCCCCTACCTTCCGCTCCTCAATCCCCCCCACCTCCGTCCCCTCCTCCTCCATCTCCCCCTCCTCCGTCCCCTCCTCCTCCATCCCCCCCTCCTCCATCCCCCCCTCATCCACCCCCACCCCCACCATCCCCCCCACCCCCAGCCGAATACCCGCAGCCTCGGAGGGACCCTACCATTCGCTTCCTCACATACGAGTGGCTGGATCAACCAGGTGGGCTAGGGGACTATCTCACAGGGCTGGCTACCACCTTCGTATGCGCCATGCTCACAAACCGCGCCTTCATAGTGAAGCATGCTCTCCTGCCGCTTGCATTCGAGCCGAACCTCGTTGATTGGTCCTTCTCACCAGAAATTCCTTTGGAGCCGGCTCGGAAAATGTCTATTGAGGAGGTGATGCAGGGATGGAGTGAGGGAGGAGGAGGAGGAGGAGGAGGAGGAGGAGGAGGAGGAGGAGGAGGAGGAGGAGGAGGAGGAGGAGGAGGAGGAGGAGGAGGAGGAGGAGGAGGAGGAGGAGGAGGAGAAGGGGCGGGAGGGCGAGGGGGGGTAGTGCAGGATGGGGAGGTTGTGGTGCTGGATCTGAAAAATAAATTGGTTGAGCCGGAGGATTTTTTCGGGCAGTTGGATAAGGCAATGAACGTGCGCGTGTCATGGAACAGAGGGCTGCTTATTCATTGGCTCGTGCAGGTGGGTGAAACGGTTCTACTGAACCAGGAAGAAACTCTTGTGTTCTCCCAAACGTTGAATAGAGTTGAGGAAGGCGAGAGGAAGGGGAGAGGAAGGGGAGGGGAGAGGAGGGGCATGAAAATAGGACCGCCTCGAGCCGCAACGAGCAGAGAGGTCGACGAGGTTAGCCAGCAGTTTAGCCGGCTCGTGGCTCGTGGCTCGTGGCTCGTCACATTGAGGCCAGCTGGGCAAGCCGGCCTATGCTGGTCTACGAGCCGAGAAGATCCAGCTCGTCACGTGATGTGATGGTTTCGTTACAAGAGGTGCGAGTGAAGGTGTGAGTGAGCTGTCGGCCTGCTCGACTAGTCTATTTTTTAGTCGACTCGCTGGACTAGTCAGCCAAAAGGTCGCCGGCTTTGCTCGCCCGATGAGCTAACGAGCCAAGCCGAGGAGCCGAGCCGCCTGCTTGGATTTCCGCTCATGCCACAGGAGAGGACGAGAGGAAGACTGTTGAGTCGACTCGAACGTCACCTGAGGAGATGGAGAGAGAATAACAGAAGCAGTGGATAGAATGAGCGGTGGAGAAGATAGGGGAAGAAAGGTATGGTAGAAGTGGCACACACAGCCCGAGAGCCATGGGGATGCAGAGTAGCAACTTACTCGAATGAGCACGAGCTCAGAGTAGCAGCACACTCGCTCTTGTCATGCTCATGTGCTGTTCACGTAACACTTGGGTGGGTGGGCACAGGCGGAGGGCAAAAAGTGGAGTGAGCGGCTCAAGGACATGGGCATGCGGCCTCCCTACAGCTTTGGCTGCATCCTGCGCTTCCTTCTCAAGTACGCCCCCACTTGGAAACATGTTGATGCGCCTGAAAAGGCTGCATCTTTCTCTCTCTTTCTTTTCAAGTGCGCTCCCATGGATACCCGCGTGACATGCATATGAGATTTCGAGATGTGCCTGAAATATCACAAGGGGGCGCCATTCTATGTCCACCACACTTTCACTGTACTCCGCATTTCCCCTCAAAGGGTGCTGAACTCACCATTCATCTAAGCCATATACCACCTTCGTCTTGAGGTTTCGAGGCAACTCATGCCCTTGCCTTGCATTCCTGTCCCCCTTCCGGGCCCTTGAGCCTCGCGTTTCTCATCTGGGCCCAACACACCTGTCCTTAGCCGGCCCCTTTGACCCGCAACCATATGTCTCATCAGCTGTCCACCACACCAAGCAACACTCTTTTGAGACGTCTCAAAGGCCGACCCCTTAGGCCCGCAACCATATGTCACGTCAACTCTCCACACCAAGAAACACTCTACCAATTTGCCTGTGTGTCCATCCCATCCCAGTCTCCTATAACCCCTCTCCCCTGCCCCTTCACGAAGCCCCCTCCTCTCCCCCCCCGCCCTCCTTTGCGTTTCCCCATCCACCCCCACCCCACTCTACTCCTCTGCCACCACCAGGCCACGGCCGGAGATTCTGTCAAAAGCTGAAGCCACGTACCACCACCTCTTCTCCCCTATTTCCTCCTCCTCCTCCCCTCCCCCCGCCCTCCTCCAAGCCCCAAATCACCTGAGCGCTGGTCAATCAGGGGCCTCCGGCTCCTGGCACAATAGGGTGGTGGTTATTGGGATTCACGTCAGGGTGGAGGATAGTTTCGTGTGGGCGGGCAAGAGAGGGTTTGGAGATCCCAAGGTTCTGAATGAGACGGAGAAGGCTGAGCTCATGGCATTGGCGGACGATTATATTGCTTGTGCCCAGGTGAATGTGCAGATAGGGAAATGTGGAGTTATAGTGGGGAGATTTTGTGGGGAGTTGCAGTTTAATATAGTCGAGGCTGGATAGTCGACAGTGGGTTTGGGCATTATGATAGTTTTGTGTTTCGCGAGTATTTCTCAGTCGTAGGGTTATAAATATGATTGCATCTAGCCCTTGTCTTCTCATACCCTTCACGCAAAAATGCATTTTCCTCTCTTTTCTCCATGCCCCTTCTTTTCCCGTGCCCCTTCTTTCCCCGTGCCCCTTCTTTTCCTATGCCCCTTCTTTCCCCGTGCCCCTTCTTTCCCCGTGCCCCTTCTTTCCCCGTGCCCCTTTGTTCCTCATGCCTCCATTCTCATTTCCTGGCCTCTGATTTCTGAGCCCCTCCCATGCCCATTTCCCTTATAGAAACTCGAAGCATGGTGGATGCCCCCTCCTATCATAGTTAAATGGCTAATTGTTAGCAACTCTCAGGATCTCAAGACAGGTTTAAGGCTCAAATATCCAGACAAGGTGTGTGCTTTCTCCTTGAGGCGGCGCAAGGGACTGCCCGCCGTCACATGCTCCGCGCTGTGCAGTGTGCATGCATTAGCAGCCTGTGCAGTCTATCCTGCCCGCTGTCACATTGGCTTTCAATGCTTGTAATGCACCTACACGCACATACATGCACACACTCATTCATACAACCGTCAACCTCCCCTCCACCCCCCTTTCACAGACGCACAGCCTCTATAGCACCCCCTCTCAACTCCCTCAGCCCCTCTCTCACATGCTTGTGCTTGGGCACGCCAATATCATCATCCCTACTTGGTTGCGTTGCGTCACAGGTGGTGGTGTCAGACATCCTCCCAATGCATATCAACAACCTCATGCTCAATGATGCTGAGCCCTCGTCGCCACCACCTTCGCCACAAGCTGCTCGCGATAAAGAAGCAGCTATATATACCGGCGTTCTTACGGATTGGCTCCTTTTGGCATCTTCTGATGTGTTCGTTATATCCCAGTCTGGATATTCCACCACAGCAACATTCTTCTCGTATCGCCTAGGTACTGTCCATACCTCAAAAATCTGCCGCCCAGAGCAACCGGTTAACCTACAGACTGTAACACGCCTTACGAGTGGAATATGATGGTTTGGTTTGGTGCTCCTCCGCTTGTTCCATGATGATATGATATACCAATGCCTGCTGGTTCTGCTCATAATAGAAACATGATGTGATACAACAACAGCACCATTGGTTCGTTTGGCTCTGCTGGCTGGTTGGAGACCTGCAATGCTAACTCCACTTCTTGGTCCATTGGCTATAGAAAATCTTGTGGTACTAGAGCATCACATGTAGTAGAGGATGCTTCAAATTCAGCAGTGGGAGCTTCGGGTTATACTTGTGCTGGTCTCTTCAGAATGTATAGTAGAATTGGTCATATGGAGAAAAGGATGCTTCAGGAGTGTGGCCTCTAGTTATACATGACTCTATTGTAACTGAAAAATATTCTTACAACCATCGTGTAGTTTTGAGGTGTCACAGGTGCTGCCAAAAGTAGCCCCATAATCGTCACCTTGATCGTATTTTGTTTTGAAAGTTGGCAGGCTCCCCTCCCCAGTCAACCAGCCAAATTTCTGACCGGAATGAAATAGTGGCGGTATTTCTAGCTCGGAACCAGGTCGGATTCAGAAGCGGTGCAAGTACGCTTAGTAAAAGCAACATATAGTAAAAGCTAAACCTGGTGTTACGTTCCGGGGAACTAGCCTCGTGACTTGTCCGGCACCATTCGTGGTCAGCATCAGTTCAGTGCTCTTGCCCTTATCAAGGAACGATAAGTACAGCACACAGAACACAGTCAGCCTCAACGACCTTCAAACATGTGGTCAGGGCTTGCCCTCGAAACGAGACTCCCCTCCTAGACCCAGTTCAGCCTCATGGGGGAGCACTTGACTTCACTCCACCTTTCAAGGTTCGGCATCGCCAAATCTCGTGAACGGCTTGGATGTATCGTTTCGCTTTTTACCAATTGAGATTTTTTCGTGCAGGTCAGCCAACTTGTACAACATTTTTCAAGGGTCACTACTACTCCCCTCCCCGAGAAACAGAGATGAAATGCACAGCATATACAGTACTAAAAACCTGTTTACACTAAACAGCCCGGTTACGTCCTAAACTGCAGTCTTTTATTTCTCCAGTCACCGACCTCCCAGGCCTGATAGCAGTCACCTCAAGATTGCCCCCTACTCCTTTCTGCGGTAAAGCTCTTTGAAGTTTATTGGGACTTGATGAGTTACTACATGCGCCAAAATCACCGCCAAACCGAATCCCTCCTATAATATACCATCAGGTGTTGATGCTCTGCTGCCCTGCCGAGCAAATCGATGATTCGAACTTCTCAAGTCTGGTTGGGCGAACTTTGTCTACTGGACTCCCTGGTCTGATGAAGTTGTTGGTCCTTCCGCCATTTGCGTGCTAGGTTTTTACCTACGACTGTCCCGCCGATCCGTTGTTATTTCGGTGCCCTAAACTGGCTGCGATGTTTTTGTACGGGAGAAAACAATGAGTGGACTCCCATCATAATTCGTGCTTTTCCTTCGCGACAACGCACCCGTACGATCCGCCATGGGAACGAGAATGAACCTCCTGACATCGCGCTTCTCTGACGGGATAAATCAGCGCTTTATCCGGGAGAAGCTAAAGCAGTTAAAGTTACCCACTAGCAACATTGGGAAGGGACTCGTGGGAGTGGTGTTGCTCGCGCTTCTCATGCTTGTCGGCTCCTTCTCGCAATCCACGTCACAAGCGCCCAGTGTCCTCCTGCCGTGGGGCCATGAAAGGTGAGAATTCCCGCCGTGGGGCCATGTCCGCTTCTACCACGCGCGTCCGCGCGTCTTGTCCATTACTGCTCATTCTCGCTGCACCTTCGTCGATGCACCTTCTGGGCTCTAGTTTTACAGTTTCCCGCTACTCTCTGACTGCTTTCCTGCATTAGTCGTCACAGCCCAACCTCATAGCCTCGTCGGCGCCCGATCGCGTCGCTCCTTCTCCGGCACCTCACATGCCAGGTTCTGCGGTTTCCGTGCCCTATCCAGTGCGCGCCCAATCCCTTGCGCATGCACACTATCCAATCCCCGCCCTCCGCCAGGTTGGTGCACGACGCGGCGGAGCTACAGCTGTGCCGCATAGAGCTGGAGCGCGTGCGGCGGGATCCGGGCGCATCGGAGGCCGTGGGCAAGTGCCAGGAGCGGCTGGTGCGACTCATGGGGACGCCCTCTGTCACCCACGCCAACGGCACCATCGCGCCCGCGGGTGAGCGGTGACGACAGGGGGGTGAGCGGAGGCGGTGAGGGGAGGGAGTGAGGGGAGGGGATGATGGGAGGGGGGGATGAGGGGAGGGGATGATGGGAAGGGTTGAGGGGAGGGGGCGATGGGAGAGAGGGGGTGAGGGGAGGGGGTGATGGGAGAGAGGGGGTGAGGGGAGGGGGTGAGGGGAGGGGGTGATGGGAGAGAGGGGGTGAGGGGAGGGGGTGATGGGAGAGAGGGGGTGAGGGGAGGGGGTGAGGGGAGGGGGTGATGGGAGAGAGGGGGTGAGGGGAGGGGTTATGGGAGGGACCAAGCAGTTTTCTTATTGTTTCTCAGTTCCACTTGCTCTCGTGCTGTGGACCCTCTGGGCCAGCGCCTTCTTGCTGCTAAGACGTCACTCCCCCCCCTCTCTCCCCCTCCATTCCTTCTCTCCCCCCCTCTCTCCCCCTCCCTTCCCTCTCTCCCCCCTCTCTCCCCCTCCCTTCCTTCTCTCCCCCCCCTCTCCCCCTCCCTTCATTCTCTCCCCCTCCCCCCCCCTCCCTTCATTCTCTCCCCCCCCCCCCCCCCCCCCTCCCTTCCTTCTCTCCCCCCTCTCCACCCCCTTCCCCCCCACTCCACACCACGCTTCTCCTATACTCACTCTCTCCTGTACCTGTGTGCCCCGCCCCCCCTTCACCCCCCACTCCCCTCTCCTCCCTTCCCCGTCCTCTCCGTCCTGCCCATGTGCTCTGTGGGGTGTGGGGTGCGGGCCGTGCAGCGACGCCATTCGAGGACGTGGAGAGCATGAGTGCTGTGGAGCTCAAGAAGGAGGTCATTGACCTCAGGGTGAGTGGGCGTGGGCGTGGGCGTGGGCGTGGGTGTGGGCGTGGGCATGGGAGTAAAGAGGGAAGGTAAGTGTAATAGAAGGAGTGGGAGTGGGAGTGGGAGTGACCACACCTCCTCTCGTTGTTTGGCTGGAGCCTCCTCAAAAGGAAGTCATCCCGCTGCGTTTAAGGCACCGATATGTTTTATTTTTTCAAACTTCACGCGGACTTTTAGGCGCCTTCAGAAGGGGGAGGGGGGTTGTTGGGGTGTGACAGGGAGAGCAAGATATAGAAGGTTTAGTCCCATAGATGTAATAGGCTCTCCTTGCACACTCCTTGCAGTTGTCTGTACCTCATTTTCTACACCAATGAAAGGACCGTTCGAGAAGGGGAAGGGGAGGTATCCTCTCCGTCCCCACTCCTCTTCTCAACCTCTTTCGTTCCTTTCCCCCACCCCCCTCCCGCCCTGTCGCCCGGCACAGATAGAGGTGGCAATCCTGAGGCAGGAGAAGCTGCGGTTGGAGAGTGCAGAGAAGGAGCGTGCCGTGTGGGACAACGCCCTCGTCCCCAAGTCGGTGAGTCAGCCACTCTCTCTCTCTCTCTCTCTCTCTCTCTCTCTCTCTCTCTCTCTCTCTCTCTCTCTCTCACACACACACACACACACACACACACGCACGCACGCCGCTCCTACCTACCTAGTACCAACCAACCAACCAACCACTGTGCGAGCCCAACCCTGAGCTTTCACCAGCCCTGCGCTGCTGGCCTGGCAGCCCTACGCCGCTGGCATGCTCCTCTCTTGAAGTGTTCGTTGTTCTCCCTTTCTATCGCGCACTCACACACTCTTTCTTTTCTGTTCTCTTACTCGTTCCCGTTCCCGCTGTGTCCTTGTCCCCTCTCGTTGCCCGCGACACCACCATGATCAGGCAGTGGAGGGAGCGCGCATGGTAGTGGCAGCAGGTCACACGTACCCTGTGGTGCCAGGAGCGCTGGTCAACGGAACACGCGCCAACTCTGGCTTTTTAGGCTAGCCTCTGAAGTCTCCGCTTTTGTGTCCCTTTCGCTCCGCACCACCACCACCACCATGAGCAGGCAGTGGAGGGAGCGCGCATGGTGGTATCAGGCCACACATGCCCCGTGGTGCCAGAAGCTCTCGTCAACGGCACGCACGTCAATTCCGTCTCAGGCCTGGCTGAGCTCGTGACTGAGGCAACGGCGCAAGCAATCAACGCCTCTGTTGCTGCGGCTGTCGCTGCTGGGAATGGCACGGACGGCAACAGCACGTTGGGCGGGGCCGCGGTGTTTCCGGTGGTGACGAATGATGCTGCGCTGGCGGCTGTTGCGGGGGATGTGAAGGAGGGGGAGAATACGACCCTGGCGAGATGGAATGTGAGTTGTGGGGAGTGAAGACTTGTGTGCATGCGTGCGTGTGAGAGTGTGTGAGTGTGAGTGTGTGTGTGTGTAGTGAGTATGAGTGTGTTTGTGTGTGTGTGTGAGTGTGAGTGTGAGTGTGTGTGGTTCAGTGTGAGTATGAGTGAGTGTGTGTGTGTGTGTGTGTGTGTGTGTGTGTGTGTGTGTGTGTGTGTGTGTGTGTGTGTTGCGCACGCACGCGTGCATGCGGGTGATCTGTGCAAGTGCGATGTGTCAATGCGGATCAGGCACAATATCCGAGAGTGCGTACGGTACAATCTCAATAGTAGTGCACACGGTATCGCTCTCCATCCATCAGCCATCCACTCGCCCAGACACCTGCACTGCCCATGCGTGTGCGTGCACTCTCACGCTCTCTCACCTCACGCACACACCCAACGCTTTCAGACGCACACGCTCACCCAGTTCTGCACGCTCCCACGCACACTCTCGTGCCCTTCGCTCGCACACGCACATGCCCGGCCGCACAATCACAGGGCTACGAGTGCAGGCGAGCATAGCGCACATGCGGATGTTTTGAGTCGACTCAAAACACGGCTCATAACACGCACAATCACAGGGCCACGAGTGCAGGGCGAGCATAGCGCATATGCAAATTTACCTCAACCACACAGTCTCTGCGCCGTATTGTTGCCGGCGCTGACATGCTGCCAGCCAAACATGCCCTTACTCTCTCCCCCATTGCCCCACAACCACAACCACCACCGCAGGGCTACGAGTGCAGGGCGAGCATAGCGGACATGAAGAGGTACCTCAACTACACAGTGCGGGCGGACTGCCCGCACGACTGGTTCTTCGTGCAGCGCCTCATGTTCATCAAGGACTGCTTCTCGCTGCCGCGCCGCCGCTGCTTCACCATCACGCCCCGCGCCGTGCAGGAGGTGCGTGCGTGCCTCTGCCTCTGCCTCTGCCTCTGCCTCTGCCGCTGCCTCTGCCTCTGCCGCTGCCTCTGCCTCTGCCTCTGCCTCTGCCTCTGCCGCTGCCTCTGCCTCTGCCTCTGCCTCTGCCGCTGCCTCTGCCTCTGCCTCTGCCTCTGCGTCTGCCTCTGCCTCTGCCTCTGCCTCTGCCTCTGCGTCTGCCTCTGCCTCTGCCGCTGCCTCTGCCTCTGCCTCTGCCTCTGCCGCTGCCTCTGCCTCTGCCTCTGCGTCTGCGTCTGCCTCTGCCACTGCCTCTGCCTCTGCCTCTGCCTCTGCCTCTGCCTCTGCCTCTGCCTCTGCCTCTGCCGCTGCCTCTGCCTCTGCCTCTGCCTCTGCCGCTGACTCTGCCTCTGCCTCTGCCTCTGCCTCTGCCTCTGCCGCTGCCTCTGCCTCTGCCTCTGCGTCTGCGTCTGCGTGGCCTGGCTTCCATTCCATCGTAAGTGTCGCTCGTGCTTTTCCTGCTGTTTGTGAAATGTGCCTGCAATCTCTGTTGTGCCTGCAATCTCTGTTGTGCCTGCAATCTCTGTTGTGCCTGCAATCTCTGTTGTGCCTGCAATCTCTGTTGTGCCTGCAATCTCTGTTGTGCCTGCAATCTCTGTTGTGCCTGCAATCTCTGTTGTGCCTGCAATCTCTGTTGTGCCTGCAATCTCTGTTGTGCCTGCAATCTCTGTTGTGCCTGCAATCTCTGTTGTGCCTGCAATCTCTGTTGTGCCTGCAATCTCTGTTGTGCCTGCAATCTCTGTTGTGCCTGCAATCTCTGTTGTGCCTGCAATCTCTGTTGTGCCTGCAATCTCTGTTGTGCCTGCAATCTCTGTTGTGCCTGCAATCTCTGTTGTGCCTGCAATCTCTGTTGTGCCTGCAATCTCTGTTGTGCCTGCAATCTCTGTTGTGCCTGCAATCTCTGTTGTGCCTGCAATCTCTGTTGTGCCTGCAATCTCTGTTGTGCCTGCAATCTCTGTTGTGCCTGCAATCTCTGTTGTGCCTGCAATCTCTGTTGTGCCTGCAATCTCTGTTGTGCCTGCAATCTCTGTTGTGCCTGCAATCTCTGTTGTGCCTGCAATCTCTGTTGTGCCTGCAATCTCTGTTGTGCCTGCAATCTCTGTTGTGCCTGCAATCTCTGTTGTGCCTGCAATCTCTGTTGTGCCTGCAATCTCTGTTGTGCCTGCAATCTCTGTTGTGCCTGCAATCTCTGTTGTGCCTGCAATCTCTGTTGTGCCTGCAATCTCTGTTGTGCCTGCAATCTCTGTTGTGCCTGCAATCTCTGTTGTGCCTGCAATCTCTGTTGTGCCTGCAATCTCTGTTGTGCCTGCAATCTCTGTTGTGCCTGCAATCTCTGTTGTGCCTGCAATCTCTGTTGTGCCTGCAATCTCTGTTGTGCCTGCAATCTCTGTTGTGCCTGCAATCTCTGTTGTGCCTGCAATCTCTGTTGTGCCTGCAATCTCTGTTGTGCCTGCAATCTCTGTTGTGCCTGCAATCTCTGTTGTGCCTGCAATCTCTGTTGTGCCTGCAATCTCTGTTGTGCCTGCAATCTCTGTTGTGCCTGCAATCTCTGTTGTGCCTGCAATCTCTGTTGTGCCTGCAATCTCTGTTGTGCCTGCAATCTCTGTTGTGCCTGCAATCTCTGTTGTGCCTGCAATCTCTGTTGTGCCTGCAATCTCTGTTGTGCCTGCAATCTCTGTTGTGCCTGCAATCTCTGTTGTGCCTGCAATCTCTGTTGTGCCTGCAATCTCTGTTGTGCCTGCAATCTCTGTTGTGCCTGCAATCTCTGTTGTGCCTGCAATCTCTGTTGTGCCTGCAATCTCTGTTGTGCCTGCAATCTCTGTTGTGCCTGCAATCTCTGTTGTGCCTGCGATCTCTGTTGTGCCTGCAATCTCTGTTGTGCCTGCAATCTCTGTTGTGCCTGCAATCTCTGTTGCGTTTTGAGTCGACTCAAAACACACATGTGCCTGCAATCTCTGTTGCGTTTTGAGTCGACTCAAAACACACATGTGCCTGCAATCTCTGTTGCGTTTTGAGTCGACTCAAAACACACATGTGCCTGCAATCTCTGTTGCGTTTTGAGTCGACTCAAAACACACATGTGCCTGCAATCTCTGTTGCGTTTTGAGTCGACTCAAAACACACATGTGCCTGCAATCTCTGTTGCGTTTTGAGTCGACTCAAAACACACATGTGCCTGCAATCTCTGTTGCGTTTTGAGTCGACTCAAAACACACATGTGCCTGCAATCTCTGTTGCGTTTTGAGTCGACTCAAAACACACATGTGCCTGCAATCTCTGTTGCGTTTTGAGTCGACTCAAAACACACATGTGCCTGCAATCTCTGTTGCCACGTATTTCCCCGCTCTCCTCTCTCCCTTGTCTCCCGAATCCCCGTTACCCACACTCCCCACTCTCTCAACGCAGCCCGTCGCACAGCCCAAGCTGTTCTCCTCCCCTGGTCCCTGGCCCATCTCCCCTCTCCCGTCTCCCCATTCCCCACCTCCCACACCCCCCTCCCCAACCCCCCCACTGCCCATTGCAGCCCATAGCGCGGCCCAAGTCGCTGTTCTCGCAGGGGGCACTGATGGACTCGAACGTGCGGTGGGACCTGCACCAGTGCAAGTCGTTTGGGTGCCTCAACTCGCGCGTGGAGGGTGATTGCCGCAACTGCTTCAACATGACCCTCGAGAGCAACCGCTGGAAGGCGCCCTTCCGCGGCTCCATCACCATGGCTGCTGTCATCGCCATGAAGCCCGGATCGCTCAGGTGGGTGGCAGGTGTGGTGGGGGAAGGGGCAAGGGCAAGGGGGGGTGAAATGCAGGAGAGTATGCTGGGGTCCTCCTGGGGGCGCCCTTCCGCGGCTCCATCACCATGGCCGCTGTCATTGCCATGAAGCCCGGATCGCTCAGGTGGGGTGAGGGAAGGGGGGGAGAGGCAAGGGCAAGGGGGGGTGAAATTAAGGGGGAGTATCATGGGGTCCTCCTGGGGGCTGTTGGGGCTGCCTGCGATGCTCCATCACCATGGCCGCTGTCATCGCCATGATGCCCGGGACCCTCAGGTGGGTTGAGGGACGGAGGGAGGTGGGAGGGGGACGTGAAGGATGATGGGTGGATGAGAGGCGGTGTGGGAAAGGAGGAAGGGAGGGAGGGGCGGATGGTTTTGGGACGCCTGGAGAGCTTTGCTGTGGGAGTGTTTGTGGTCCTGTTTCCATCAGGCCAAGCCTTCTCCCAAGCACTTACCATGCAAAGTCGCTCACATCTCTCCACCCCTTTCTCCCTCTGCTCCCCTCTCTTCCTCCTCTCCCTGCCCCAACCCACAACCCCTCCGTCTCCCTCTACCTTCCCCACTTCCTCCCCCCAGCCGTATCTTCTCCTTCAACCCATCTCGTCGCCCCCATCCCCATCTCTTCCCCCTAACCACGCCCCCCCCCTCCCCCCAACCATCTGCCCCCCAACCCATCTCCATCTCTCCCCTCCCCATGTCCAGGCTGGGGCTGGATGTGGGGGGCGGCACGGGCAGCTTTGCGGCGCACATGGCACGGTACGGTGTGACAGTGATGACCACCGCATACAACGTGGAGACCACCGCCAATCGCACGGGCGGCCTGCCCTACATGGAGGCCATTGCGCTCAGGGGCCTCATCCCCCTGCACTCGCCGCACAAGGTGCATGGGCAGTGGTGTGGTGTGGTGTGGTGTGGTGTGCTGTGCTGTGCTGTGCTGTGCTGTGGTGTGCTGTGCTGTGCATGGGGTGTGGATCTTTGTGGATGTGGTTTGGCGCAGGGAGAGGGGAGGGGGGGAGTTGCGGTGTGGCCATCGCATTGAGGGGCCCCATCCCCCCTGCACTCGCTGCACAAGGTGCACGCCGTGCTGTGCATGTGCGGTTTCTAATCATTCCCAAATAACACTCGCGGCAAAGGTGGGGGGGATTATGGGGATGGTGGGGGTTTGGGGGGCTATGATGGCTCCTCCCCTCCTTGGAGTGCAGCTGTGCAGGTTAGCTGCTCCTGTCAGGTTTCAATGCCTTGACTTGTGTGTTATGTTCCAATGCCCAGCTTGCCACGCTATGTCTGAAGGCACACGTATGGCAAACTTAACAACAGCAACTGGTCAAACACACATGCACGCCTCTCATCCCATCTCCCTAACCTTACCAATTCCTCCTCTAACCCGCATGTGCGCAGGCGCGGTTGCCGCTGTACGATGCGATGTTGGACATAGTGCACACGGTGAACTGAACAGCAGCAAGTGCACGTACCGGTAGGTTGTCGCCGCCATCCCATCTCCCCCCCCCCCCCCCCCCCCCCTCCCTGTCCCCCCCCCCACCCCGCTCCCCCCTCCCCAATGTGCCCAGGGGCGGTTGCCGCTGTACGATGGGACGTTGGACATAGTGCACACGGTGAACAGCGTCAAGTACCTGCCCATGCTCGAGTTCGAGGAGATGCTCTTCGAGTGGGACCGCGTGCTCAGAGGAGGTCCGTCCTGCTCTTGCTCTTGCTCCTGCTCTTGCTCTTGCTCTTGCTCTTGCTTCTGCTCTTGCTCATGCTCTTGCTTCTGCTCTTGCTCTTGCTCTTGCTCTTGCTCCTGCTCTTGCTCTTGCTCCTGCTCCTGCTCCTGCTGCTCTTGCTCCTGCTCCTGCTCCTGCTCCTGCTCTTGCTCTTGCTCCTGCTCTTGCTCATACTCCTGCTCTTGCTCCTGCTCTTGCTCATACTCCTGCTCTTGCTCCTGCTCTTGCTCATACTCCTGCTCTTGCTCCTGCTCTTGCTCATACTCCTGCTCTTGCTCCTGCTCTTGCTCATACTCCTGCTCTTGCTCTTGCTCTTGCTCATGCTCTTGCTTCTGCTCTTGCTCTTGCTCTTGCTCTTGCTCTTGCTCCTGCTCTTGCTCTTGCTCTTGCTCTTGCTCCTGCTCTTGCTCTTGCTCCTGCTCCTGCTCCTGCTGCTCTTGCTCCTGCTCCTGCTCCTGCTCCTGCTCTTGCTCTTGCTCTTGCTCCTGCTCCTGCTCCTGCTCCTGCTCTTGCTCCTGCTCCTGCTCTTGCTCATACTCCTGCTCTTGCTCTTGCTCTTGCTCATGCTCTTGCTTCTGCTCTTGCTCTTGCTCTTGCTCTTGCTCTTGCTCCTGCTCTTGCTCTTGCTCCTGCTCCTGCTCCTGCTGCTCTTGCTCCTGCTCCTGCTCCTGCTCTTGCTCTTGCTCTTGCTCTTGCTCCTGCTCCTGCTCCTGCTCCTGCTCTTGCTCCTGCTCCTGCTCTTGCTCATACTCCTGCTCTTGCTCTTGCTCATGCTCTTGCTTCTGCTCTTGCTCTTGCTCTTGCTCTTGCTCTTGCTCCTGCTCTTGCTCTTGCTCCTGCTCCTGCTCCTGCTGCTCTTGCTCCTGCTCCTGCTCCTGCTCTTGCTCTTGCTCTTGCTCTTGCTCCTGCTCCTGCTCCTGCTCTTGCTCCTGCTCCTGCTCTTGCTCCTGCTCTTGCTCTTGCTCTTGCTCCTGCTCCTACTCTTGCTCCTGCTCTTGCTCTTGCTCTTGCTCTTGCTCCTGCTCTTGCTCTTGCTCCTGCTCCTGCTCCTGCTGCTCTTGCTCCTGCTCCTGCTCCTGCTCCTGCTCTTGCTCTTGCTCTTGCTCCTGCTCCTGCTCCTGCTCCTGCTCTTGCTCCTGCTCCTGCTCTTGCTCCTGCTCTTGCTCTTGCTCTTGCTCCTGCTCCTACTCTTGCTCCTGCTCTTGCTCTTGCTCTTGCTCTTGCTCCTGCTCCTGCTCTTGCTCCTGCTCTTGCTCTTGCTCTTGCTCTTGCTCTTACTCATGCTCCTGCTCTTGCTCTTGCTCTTGCTCTTGCTCCTGCTCTTGCTCTTGCTCTTGCTCATGCTCCTGCTCTTGCTCTTGCTCTTGCTCCTGCTCTTTCTCTTGCTCTTGCTCCTGCTCTTGCTCCTGCTCCTGCTCCTGCTCTTGCTCCTGCTCCTGCTCCTGCTCTTGCTCCTGCTCCTGCTCCTGCTCTTGCTCCTGCTCTTGCTCTTGCTCATACTCCTGCTCCTGCTCTTGCTCCTGCTCTTGCTCTTGCTCTTGCTCTTGCTCTTACTCATGCTCCTGCTCTTGCTCTTGCTCTTGCTCTTGCCCTTGCTCTTGCTCTTGCTCCTGCTCCTGCTCTTGCTCCTGCTCTTGCTCTTGCTCTTGCTCTTGCTCTTACTCATGCTCCTGCTCTTGCTCTTGCTCTTGCTCTTGCTCCTGCTCTTGCTCTTGCTCTTGCTCATGCTCCTGCTCTTGCTCTTGCTCTTGCTCCTGCTCTTTCTCTTGCTCTTGCTCCTGCTCTTGCTCCTGCTCCTGCTCCTGCTCTTGCTCCTGCTCCTGCTCCTGCTCTTGCTCCTGCTCCTGCTCCTGCTCTTGCTCCTGCTCTTGCTCTTGCTCATACTCCTGCTCCTGCTCTTGCTCCTGCTCTTGCTCTTGCTCTTGCTCTTGCTCTTACTCATGCTCCTGCTCTTGCTCTTGCTCTTGCTCTTGCCCTTGCTCTTGCTCTTGCTCCTGCTCCTGCTCTTGCTCCTGCTCTTGCTCTTGCTCTTGCTCTTGCTCTTGCTCATGCTTCTGCTCTTGCTCTTGCTCTTGCTCTTGCTCCTGCTCTTGCTCTTGCTCATGCTCCTGCTCTTGCTCTTGCTCTTGCTCCTGCTCTTGCTCTTTCTCGTGCTCTTGCTCCTGCTCTTGCTCTTGCTCTTGCTCTTGGTCATGCTCCTACTCTTGCTCTTGCTCTTGCTCCTGCTCTTGCTCCTGCTCCTGCTCCTGCTCCTGCTCTTGCTCCTGCTCCTGCTCCTGCTCCTGCTCTTGCTCTTGCTCTTGCTCTTGCTCCTTCTCCTGCTCCTGCTCCTGCTCTTGCTCCTGCTCCTGCTCCTGCTCCTGCTCTTGCTCTTGCTCTTGCTCCTGCTCTTGCTCTTGCTCCTGCTCCTGCTCCTGCTCTTGCTCCTGCTCTTGCTCTTGCTCTTGCTCTTACTCATGCTCCTGTTCTTGCTCTTGCTCTTGCTCTTGCTCTTGCTCTTGCTCTTGCTCTTGTTCCTGCTCCTGCTCCTGCTCCTGCTCTTGCTCTTGCCCTTGCTCATGCCCTTGGTTTTGCTCTTGCTCTTGCTCTTGTGCTGCTTGCTGCCCTGCTGCTCTGCTTCTCTGCTGCTCTGCTCCTCTGCTGCCAATACAACCCTCCTCTCCCTCTCGCCCTCTCACCTCCATCCCCCCCGGGACTCGTCTCCCTCCTCTCCCTCCTCTCCCTCCTCTCCCCCTCCCTCCTCCCCCTCCTCCCCCTCCTCTCCCTCCTCTCACTGCTCTCCCTCCCCCCCCACTTTCCGCTTCCTTCACTCTCCCACGCCCCTCCCCACCAGGCGGGCTGCTGTGGCTGGAGATGTTTTACGCGCCCAAGGAGGAGATGCCGGCGTACGTGGCGCTGATAGAGCTGCTGGGCTACAGCAAGCGCTACTGGAACTACTCGCCCAAGAACGACGTGGGCGAGAGGGAGGGCGAGCACGTGTACCTCAACTGCGTGCTGGAAAAGCCCTTCCGCCCCGGCACCCAGGTGCTTGACGGCCCTCCCAAGGAAGACCTCTCCTGGGACTAACCTGCCTGGCCACCTGGCCACCTGGCTGATGCCTGGCAACTGGCACTTGACCTGGCTGTTTGTGGAGTGTGTATCTGTAGATATCGTAGATGCATCCATCCATCCATCCATCCATCCAGCTATCCATCCAGTGGTGCTGCTGTGTTGTAGCGGCGCTTCGAATGTTGTTTTGGTTCGGAGCTCTGTCCATGCCTTGCCGCTGTGCTTGTGGTAACGTACCGATTATCCATGCTGTGTGGTACTCGCATCGCATGGGCCGTACCGTACCGTACCACAATAGAAGATGTGTGTGTAGGGTATACTGCATTACCGGTACCACAACAAATGTGCTGTGTGGGCAAGAGGCATTTTGCTAGTGAGTGTTTTTTTATTTAGATGATGTCTGCCTAACCGTTTGTGTAGTAATTCCAGTACATGGTGATTCCTGAAGCAACGTGGAAATGACAACCAACCAGAGAGCCTGCATGCATGCATAGATCTGTGCAGGGAATCCTTTTCTGGACAGGCCACATGCATGCACCTGGTTGCAGTCACTTATGCAGCAAAATGGGTCAGAGACAGGAACTGAAGCATATGCACTGGTGTGCAGAGTACTAGAAGCACATGGAACCATGGTGAAGTGTGGGAAGGGAACCCAACTGCTGCTCTTTTGATGAGAATCAATTCAGATGACACTGACTAAGACCGGTATGGGTGAATGCTGCTCTCTCTTCCTCTCTCTAGGGTCTACGGCCCGTCCGTGGCGAAAGCTATCCAGCCAGCTGTGTATTGCAGGGTAGCTAATAACCTACCGGCAGTAACACTACTAGCAAACCACACAGCATGCAGCAGTTATGTTCCAACTTTGGCATCTCCTCGCTCACACCTCACGCACACACACAAGCGGTGTGGCACAGGGCGGGGTGTGCTGGGTGGGAGCAGATGAAGCCGACTTGATATGCAAGTTGCAACCATTCCAACAAGCAATGCAGCAGGGAGGAAGCACGATAAAGCGGGAGGGAGGGAGAGAGCGTGAGAGAGAAAAAGAATGCTGATTGCAGCAGCACTGATGACTTAGAATGCAGGGTGCTTCAGTTAGTCACCCTTCTCCCACCTCTCCCTCTTTTCCCACCTCGCCCTCTGCTCCCTCTTCTCCTCCATCTTCCATCCAAGTGAGCAACACTCACACCGACCCATTCCCCCCAACACCATGGGTGCTTCTCATCTCATGCCATGCACGCACAAAGCATGCGATCACTCCAACCGCTACATCATCCCACGACCAAATATTCAAGCCACCTCATGTTTTGAACTCATTTCTCAGCACATGCCCCCTCCTCTCCTCCCTTTTGAGGCGCCTCAAAAGTCGCCTCAACTTTTGAAGCGCCTCAAAAGCCACCTCATGTTTTGATCTCATTTCTCAGCACATGCCCCCTCCTCTCCTCCCCCTCTCCTTCCCACCCCTTTTCACCTCCCATTCTCATTCCCCTTGGTCTCCCTCGATGCTCCCATCCTCCCCGCTCCCCGCCCCCTCTGCTCTCTCCCCTCGCCGCTCCCTGCCCCACTTCTCCCCGCCCCCCCACACCGCAATAGCACCATCGCTACTGCCCCCCTGCTGCTTTCCCCGCGGGCGAGCCTGGGAGGAGGAGAGGCGACGGGGTATCGAGGGTGGGCGGGGAGCAGAGGAGGAGGCGGAGGAGAGGGCAGAGGAGAGGGTGCGGCTGGTGGGACTAGTGGGACTGGTGAAACTGGAGCGGTTGGTGGGGCTTGTCAGGTTGGTTGGGCTCGTGAGCGCATTTTCGAGTTCAAACGAGCGTGACCGGCTGTGGCGGAGTGAGAAAGGGGAGTGGTGGGATGGGGAGTGCGGGGGAGGGGAGCTTCCATACGCACCAGCTGCGCCTGCGGCTGCGGCTGCGGTTGCTTGCGATCTGTACGTGTGTTCAGGTTCGCCGTCTGAGTCAGCATTAGGCAAACCGTTCACTGCTGCTGCTGCTGTCCCTCCTGCTGCTGCCCCTGAAGCCCCTGCTGCTGCTCCCAAAGGTACTGCGAAGCCAGCATTTGAATTAGCAGCTCTGCTAGCACCTACACTGCCTCTCATCCCACCACCAGCACCCCCACCACCGGAAACACCCCCACCCATCAATCGCCCCTTCGCCTCCTCATTCCCACCTCTTCCAAACCCACTCAACCCATCGATCCACCCTCCAACCGCTCCCCCTTCCCCACCACCAAAGCCCCTATCAGCCCCGCACGCTTTCCCTTCACTCGGCCCCTCCCAGCTCAGCCTAGCCCCAAACCTGGACACGGGACCTGCTGCTCCGCCCAGCCCTACCCCAACCGCCCAGCACGAGTCCCTGGGGGAAGCGGAGCTCTGGCGGCGGAAGGGGGCTCCGCGGTTGGCTTGATTAGCCCTCTGCAGCCGTGCTGTCGCCGCTGCTAGCTCTGCTGCTTGCGAGCTCGTTTGGGCGCTCATGACTGAGTCTGAGTCTTGCTCTGTGACTGGTGTGAGATGCGCAGAGGCAGCCCATGGGGAGGAAACGGTTGCTGAGATCAGATGCTGCTGCTGCTGCTGCTGCTGTTGGTGTTGCTGCTGCTGGTGTTGCTGCTGCTGATGCTGCTGCTGCTGCTGCTGCTGCTGCTGCTGCTGCTGCTGGTAATGGTGCTGTTGTTGGTGTTGGTGATGGTGTTGGTGTTGGTGGGAGGAAGGAGAGGGGAAGGTTCGGCGAGGGGATAAGAGCTTGGGTGAAGCTGGGCACCCTACCCCTTGCCCCCCTCCTTGCCCCCCTCCCGCCCCTCCTTGTCCTCCTCTCCCCACCGCTCCTCCAGCAGCATCTGTGAAGCTGTGCTGATCGCCAGAGGGAGGATAGCGCGACTTTTGAGACATCTCAAGAACCGCCCCTCCTTGTCCTCCTCTCCCCACCGCTCCTCCAGCAGCATCTGTGATGTTGTGCTGATCGCCGGAGGGAGGAGAGCGTGACACACCTTCACCTAGGTTCACGCCAGCATTGTCAAACATGGCAGCACCGCCCTCAACAGCAGCACCAGCAGCACCAGCAGCACCGGTTGCACCAGAAGCACCGGAAGCAGCGGCAGCATCACTATTTGTTGTTATGGAATTCCTTCCTGCTATGCTGCTGCCACTGCCACCGCTGCCGCTGCTGCTAAAATTGCCGCTGCCACTGCCAACCCTGCTGCTGCTACTGCTGTTGCGACTGCTACTGGTGCTACCGCTGTTGCCCCTACTGCACATGTCTCTGCCAGTGCCGCTCTCTCGTGACGTCCCATCCCTGCCACCACCCAGCACGTCTCCACTACTGCTGCTGCTGCTGCCACCACTTCGTAATCCCCCACTGGCAGCACCATCAGCAGCGGCAGCAGCAGCAGAGGAACCGCTTTCAGCAGCGCCAGCATCACCCGAGCAGGACAAAACTGACGCTCTCCCTGTGCCAACACCTACCCCGGCAGTAGCAACAGCAGCACTGGCACCAGCACCAGCACCTGTACCCACCCGCCTAGCTTCCACCATGCCGCCCCTAGGGTTGCCCTGCCCACCTGCCCCTGCTGCAATGCCCAAAGAAGGGCCCCCTCTGCTTCGCTGTCCCGCAATAGTACTCGTGCTGCCCATTGCACCGCTGCCCACACTGCTGCTGCTGATGCTGCTGCTGGTTACAGCAGCAACAGCAGCAGCAGCAGCAGCAGCAGCAGCACCACCACCACCACCACCACTTTCCACGATCCCGTGCCGTCTCTCTTCCAGCCGCCCTTCCTCTCCAGCCCTCTCTCGTTCCAGTAAACCCCTCCCATCCACCCCTCCTCCTCCCCCTACCATCCCTCTGCCCCTGCCACCCATCCGCCCCCCTGCCTTGCCACCTCTCCCACCCCCAACCCCGGACACCCCAAGCACCACACCACCCCCTGCACTCGCCCCACCAGTGACAGTCAGCCCACCACTTAACCCACCGACTACCCCACTACTAGCCCTTCTTAGAGGGTTCATTGAAGAAGACAAAGACGGACCTACTCTTTCCCCTCCTCCTGTATGCATCCCCCCTCCCCCAACCCCTCCCCCAACATACCCTCTCCCCCCACCTGCCGCCCCTCCCCCACCTATCCGCCCCCCTCTTCCACCCACACGCTCCTCCTCCATCCTGTGCGTCCCCCCCACATGCGTCCCCCCACCATGCGCGCCCCCCCCAAGTGTCCCCCCTGCATGAACCCCTCCTCCGTGCTGCCCCTTTCCAATCGCTATCCTTTCACTGGAATGTCTTTGCTGCCCCTGCCCTCTGCCCTCCTCCAAGCTCCCAGCCCCGCTGTCTCTCTCCCTCTGCCCCAAGTCACCAGCCCCACCGTACCTGCCTTCCTCTCTGCTCCCACCACCACCCACTCCCCCAAGCCCCTCGCCTCCCTCTCCTGAACCCTCTGCCTCTCCAGCAGCAGCAACAGAAGCAGCAGCAGCAGCAGCAGATCCAGAAGCAGAGGCAGACGCAGAGGCAGCAGTACCAGCAGCAGAACCAGCAGCATATCTCGAAACCGGTCTTCTCGGCGGCGAAACAAGCCTAGCAGCCGCACCCCCGCCTGGCTGCCCAGGCGAGCGCACAGAGCAGGGGGAGAGCGGAGAGCTCCCCAGATACGACCCCCCAATGCCACTAGCAAGCGCGCTCCCTCCCCGCCTACCCACTCCCCCCACTCCTCCCCCTCCAGGTCTCGTCTCGGCTGTGCGTGGCCGCTGCACGGGCGCACACACGCGCCTGCCTGCTCGGGACGACCCGATGCTGCTGATGTGCTGGTATGTGGGGCGCCGGCGCGGCTGTGACGAGGACGAGGAGGACGACCCGCCTTCGTCCTGCTCTGCATCCCCTGCTGCTGCTGCTGCTGCTGCTGCACTGTCCTGTGGTGAGCCTGCCGCCCCTGTTGCTGCCGCTGCTGCTGCTGCTGCTGCTGTTGGAGGTGCTGCTGCTGTTGCTGATGCGTTGGGTGATGCAGAGTCAGGAGAAGTAGCACTGCTGGAGCTGCCTCGTCTCTCCTCACTAACACTGCCCCGAGTGCCAGCCCGAGCGTCAGCACCTGCTGCCTCCCTGCTTCTCTCATCCCCCCGACTCCAAACCCCAACAACACCACCACCAGCAGCAGCACCAGCACCATCAGCAGCACCAGCTGCACCAGCTGCTGCCACCCTTGTGCTCGCGCTTGCCTCAGCATCCCCACTCCTGGTTTCCCTTCCACTCCTGTCAACCCCGGCCCTCTCCCCAGCCATGTCCACAGCACCCAATCCCCCTCTGCCTGATCGTCCCCCCGACCTGGGTGTGCCACAGCCTAGGCCCTCTGCTTCTGCTGCCAACACTGCTGCACTGCCTGCTCGAGCCTCCATCGGCCCCGCATTCAACGCAGCCGCAGCAGCAGAAGAAGAAGCAGAAGAGGCAGCGGTACTGGTTCCACGTGGGGAGACGTGAGGTGCATGTGCATGCACCACCGGTCCAGTATCAGTGGCAACAGCATTGCTGCGACCACCTGCCGACGTTGCTGCTGCTGCTGCTCCTGCGGTTAAACCACCACCGCCGGTGCCACTGACCCCTCTCGCCCGCCCCGCTCGGCTTCCACCTGCCACTCCTCTCCTCCCGCCCACCCTCCTCCTCCTCCCACTACCCGTCCTCTCATCCGCATCCTCCATCCCATCATCCTCCCCCCCATCCTCACCCTCTACCGCCCCCCCACCCCACGCACCATCCCTTCCCCTACCACGCCCTTCCCCATCCGCACTCATCCCCCCCTCACCCGCCGCGTCCTCCCCTTCCTCCGCCCAATCATCCCCGTCCTCCCGCTCACCCTCCCGATCCTCTGCCTTCCCCTCCTCTGCATGCATATCAGCACCGCCACCAATATCATCCCTATCAGGCCCTCTCCAGGCGGCAGACATGAGAGCACTGTCAATTCCGCTCTTCGACCGCAGAGGCAGCACCCGCCTTTTCAATGCCATCTCTCCCCGCGGCTGCGCTCTCCTATACTTGCTTGCGCTTGAACCTCCACCAACAGCACCACCACCAGCACCACCGGCACCGCCGCCACCACCAGCAGCAGCCGCATCAGCGGCACCAGCTGTGGCTGTAGCAGCAGCGCCTGCTGCTGCCGCTACACCCACCGCCCCGTCCGCGTCAAACCCATCACCAGCAGAGTCAGCAAGGGCAGCAGCGGCGGCGGCGGCAGCAGCAGCAGAGACGGAGGGAGAGAAAAGCGAGCCGGCGCGGGCAAGAGCGAGCTTGCAGGGAGCAGGGGAGAGCGAGGAGGATGAGAAGGAGGCGGAGGAGGAGGAGGACGACGACGACGAAGCACCACCGCCACCACCGGCAGTCGAAACAGCAGCAGCGGCAGCAAGCCAGCGGTGGGAGAGGACGTGGTGCAGGGAGGGACGGTGCTGGGGGTCTAGGGAGCACATGCGCTGTATGAGGTCCTTGGCTGCTGGCGAGATGAGCTGCCACTGCCGTGACGTGAAGTCCAGGTACCCCTGGCACACGCTCTCATACGTCTCCTCAACCGTCTCGCCCCAGAAGGGTAGGATGCCTGGCCAGGGAGGGGGGACAGGGGGGAACGCGGGGGTGGGCAGGGGAGAGTGTTGTTGAGATGTCTCAAAAGAAGGGTATGATGCCTGGCCAGGGAGGGGAAGCAGAGGAGGGACGGGGGGTTGTGCAGAGGAAAGGAAAGGTGTAAGACGTGTCGAGAGAAGGGTGGGTTGCCTGGCCAGGGAGGGGAAGCAGAATGGGGGACTAGAGGGGGTTGGGCCGACGAGAGGCGTGCAAGGAGGGAGGCGAGCGGGCATGGAGCGAGAGGGCAGGGAGCTTCACAGCGGTGCGAGGTAGGAGGGAAAGAGAGCATCCCATCCCATCCCACAGCTTGCTGTTGCTGTTGCTGTTGCTGCTGTTCCGTTCCCACAGAGCCTTGCTGCCGACCCTTGGGAGCCTCGGTTGGGGGACCTGTGGCACGTCCTGGAGGACGGCCAGGGCCGAGGCTGGAGCTGGGAGGAGTAAAAGGGGGGGCGGCCTAGAGCCCTGTGAGTGATAAGGGCCGACCTGGGTTGCCCAGGGGCTAGGCTAGGCCAAGACGAGACCAGAGACGGGATGCTGGCGGCTGGGGTGGGGCCTTGGAATGGGGCGGCTGGGTCACTTGCAGATTGGGGGTAGGAAACCAGTGTAGGCTCTAGGCTTGAATGTTCACTGCCTACCTTGCCTATATGCCTAGGTTTGCTTGCTTGTTAGACCCACCTCTGCCATGCCTGTACCTAAAAAAATATCAATGAAGGACCGCTTGAGAGAACGGAAGCGCCCACCTGAGAGCATGATGTAGAGCAAGACTCCTAAGCTCCACACATCCGCGGGGAAGGAGTAGGCCATGCCCTGCACGACCTCCGGCGCCATGTAGAACGACGACCCCGCCAGCCCCACGGCGCGCGCGCCCGGGGGCAGGTGCACGGCGAGGCCAAAGTCGGCGAGCTTGGGGTTGAGCGCGGAGGCGTCGGCGAGCAGGATGTTCTCGGGCTTGAGGTCGCGGTGCACGATGCTCTTGCCGTGACAGTACCCCACCGCGTCCACTATCTTCCTGGGAGGGGGGAGATGGGGGCGGGTGGGACGAGATGGGGGGGGTGACGGGGAGATGTGGGAGGGGGGGTGGTGAGGGGGAGATCGGGGGGAGGGTTGAGGGGGAGATGGGGGGGAATGTGGAGGGAGATGTGGGGAGATGGGAGGGGAGGGAGGAGAGGTAGGTAGGGGGAGTGGGTTGGGGCAGGGGGGAGGAATAGGGCATGCTGTGGCAGCCAGCCCCTCTGTCGGCAAGGAAAATGGTCTTGCCCTGATGGTACCGGGTACCCCACTGCGTCCACTATCTTCCTGGAGGGGTGATGCGGGGAGATGCAGGGGGGAGTGGATGAGGGGGAGATGGGGGGGATGGGGAAGTTTTGGGGGAAGATGTGGGGAGACGGGGAGAGGGAATCGGTTGGGGCAGGGGAATGGAGTAAGGCGAGGGAAGGGGGTCGGTTTGGCCGCACGTCAGCACCCAGCATCCAGGAGAGGGAATGGGTTAGGGTGCACAGCGCACAGCACGCAGCTGCCAGCGCACCCAGCACCCTAGCACGCCCCGCACCCACCACCCAGCGCGCAACTCCCCGCGCGCAGCACCGCACCCCACCACCCTCCGCACCTGAACATGTGGCGCGCGTCGCTCTCGGAGAGGTGGTCGGAGCGCGCGAGGAGGTCGAAGAGGTCCCCGCCGTGGCAGAGCTCCATGACCATGTGCACGTGCTCGTCGTCCTCGTACACCGCCTCCGCCTCCACTATGTGCGCGTGCCCCACCACCGCGCGCATCACCGCCATCTCCGTCCGCAGCTCCTCCACCTGCTGCTCCTCCTGCGCGCGCGAGGGAGCGGGGGAGCGGGAGAGCGCGGGAGAGGGAGAGCGGGGGGGGTGCAATGGGGGGATGGGGGAGAAGGTCGGGGAGGGAGTGCGCTGATGGGGAGGGAGGTACGGGGGAGGGTACGAGGGAGGGTGGGGGCCTGTTTGTGCGGGGTGGGGGAAGGTGGTGCGGCTGCGTAAAGTACCAGCCATGCCACCAGAGCGATTGGCTCGGTTGCAACGTCTGGAAATGTGGTTGCGGGTGCTGATGCTGACGCGGGTGCGGGTGCGGGTGCTGGCGGCGAGTGCGCGTGCGCATGTGCTTGTGCGAGCGCGTGCGGAGGTCGTGCGGAGGTTGCGCGGAGGGCGTGCGGAGGGCGTGCGGAGGGCGTGCGGAGGGCGTGCGGAGGGCGTGCGGAGGGCGTGCCTTGAGATTGGCCTTGCTGATGGACTTGCACGCCAGCACGCGCCCCGTCTTGCGGTGCACGCACGGCCGAACCACGCCGTACCGCCCGCGCCCAAACTCCTTCCCGCGCACCATGTAGTCGCGGTGCAAACTGCGCTTCGCGTACGCTAAGATGTACCCGTTGCTTCCGCTTCCGCCGCTACTTCCGCCACCGCCACCGCCGCCACCTGGCATGCGCGGGTGCGGTCAGATTGGGCGGAAAAAGGAAGGTTGATGACAGATAGCAGGCGGGATGGCAAGATGGCGGGGTGAAGGGGAACAGACAGGGCGGCGGGGAGGGTAGATGCGCACGCCAGGCCAAACCACGGAAAGGATTCGAAGGATAAAATGAGCAGAACAAGAAGAACGAGAGGGACGAGAGGGACGAGCGGGATGCTACGCAGGACGAAAATGCACATGGATATTTCAAAGGCTTGACGTCGCGGCGAGCTGATGAAGCTACTAAATGCATGACGCGCGATGGGCGCTGCCAGCGCCGGTCGTGAAGAGGGCGGGAGGTGAACGGCGGCGATGCAATGAGTATTAATTCTCGATATTCGGAAAACATCCGGCCTACGACACGGAATAGGACTTGTTGAGTAAGGCGCCGCGTCTTAAACTAAATAGAGCTCCCAGGATTGGTAAACGTCGGCTCGCGGTGGCAAAAACGTGGCCAATGGGTTCAACGGATCGGATGGCTTAGCGAGGTGGATGCAATGCAATGCAGGGAGACTGCGAAGGGCAATAACCTGATGCCATGGACGGCCAGTCGAGCCGCGAAAGGCGGCAATCAAGGCCCTGATCCCGCCACCGCCTTGTGCTCGCGCCGACACCCTAAGCCTCCGAAGTCACATCCTATCATGGCGCGAGCACTGCGAAGATTACGCTGGCGACAAAGCAGCGATTCTGCCAGAAGGTTAGATTCGATAGGTCGCTGCAGAGGACGGATGCTACCATCGCTTGACCTTTCCTGCATTGTTGATAGCAAAGCAAGACGGGGGTCCAGCAAGAATTCAAGCATACGCTATGGCAGGGTGTGGTGTAACGCCATCCAAAAGGAACTCTGCTGTACATCTCATCATCAAGCCCATACTTGTCAAACCAAGGATGTACGCCCTAATGAATCCACCCATATTCACAGACTTCAGACAGGATTTACCCATTCGAGTCCAACTATATTCAGAGAGTTCAGAGGCGGACTTCCCCGTTATGAAATCCTGGGTACTTCTAGTACTTTTTCTGAACTTCGATCTAGCCAGAATTCACGTGTCTGAACCAAAATTCTGCTTGCCACATCGCGTCATGTCTTCCAGGTTGACACAGCAAAATGGCCTAGTTCTGTTTGCAAACGCTGGTTTTAACAAAACGCTAGTCAGTTAGGGAAACTTCTGGGCCACAGAATAGAGCAGAATTGACCTGGAGCAGGTCTCGCTACACGGAACGGGACACAGGATGAGGGCAGAGGACCAGAAAGAGGGACCAAACAAGAGTATCATTCGTTGTACTATATTAAAACACGTGGTTGTGTTTCGGTTCCGATTTCGATGCAGAGCAGATTGAACTCCCAGTGGAACGTGCCAAATGAAACACTCAAGTTGAGCGAAGGGTGTGGAGGGATGTGCGGGGGCTGCGCCGCCACCTTGGCGGGGAAGGCTGAAAGTTGGGGGTGCTGCGGGCTCGGGGTCAAGAGCCGCTTCTTTCATCCCCCTAACATATCCCCCTCCCTCTCCCCTCCCCTTTCCCCCCCGCCTCCAAATATTCCCCCACAAAGCCCTGGCGTGCCGCCGATCTGTTCGGCAGGTCATGGGAGAAGGAAATCATTCCATTTCAAGGGGATGAAGGAGAAGCAAATGAGGGATGGGTGGAGTGGGTGGGAGATGGGGGAGTTGTTGAGATCGCGCTCCGAGTCGAATCGAATGGCAGCCTGGAGAGCGTCCGTTGTCGTATACGACGACGGACAGGTCGTCCGTGAGTTGGCTCCAGCTTCGTCATCGGTCCTCCTCGTGCTGTGTGCCAGCTTTGTTGGTCCGGAAAAGTCGTGGATTTTGAGCCAACACTGATTGTGGCGCAAGCGGAAACCAATAACAAACAAAAATGATATTTTGCCTTGGATGTGTGGCACCTCAGGAGAGTAATTCATCTGCACAACAAGCAGGCCCCAACATTGGCTGAGGCATGTTAATGGATTAGTCTTGCCAGGCACTGCAGCCCTCACAATCAGTATAAATTTCATGGAAGGTTTTTTCAACAGTGAGAAATGACTCAGACCCTAAGCAGGAGGATAATACAAAATTTGTGCATAATATCAATGCAATCACTGCTAGGATGATGGATGATCAGAAACTCCTATGTAGCATGAAGCATCTGCTACTGCACCTGTGGTCAGGCAAGCAGATACCCTGTGTGTTTTGACTTATTTCCAATTAGGACCCGTTTGCAAGGCCTGCTTCTCACCTCTCCAGCGTGCAGGCAATAGCATTGCAGAGAGTCCCACATGTCCTCATTGCATCTTGACTACCGTACTATCACATGCCACTGTGTAACGCATAAAACCGCACTGCATGCAGCCTCACATCACAAATCAGCTCGGCACCAGAACCAACCGCACAGCACCACTCACATCACACGGCACCACCGTTGCAGTGCAGCCCTTGCATGTCTAGTCTAAGCAGCTCCGCATCCACCTCCCGCACCATGTCCGCCAGCTGCTGCACCGTGTCACTCAGCTGCCCCAGCGCCCGCCGCACCCGCACTGCCTGATGCCCGTCCAGCCCTCGCTTCTGTACAGACACAGCAGCAGCAGCAGCAGTACCAGAGCCAGAAGCAGCGCAAGTTGCAGCAGCGCTAGTTGCAGCAGCGCCAGCAGCAGTGGCTCCGTCAGAGGGTTTGCGGCCAATGCTGTATGGATCGGGTTTCGCAGGGCTTTGCTTGTCGCTGCTCGTGCTGCTGCTGGTGGGGGTGCTGGTGCTGTCCGCATCAGCTATGTGCTCCCAGCGCGACTGCAGGTGAGCGGCAGAGTCCAGCAGCAGTGGCAGCTCGTGATGCTGTAATGCATCTGTGGTGCACAAGAATATGGGGATGGTTCGGTGGGGGAGATGGAGGGAAGGGTGGATGGGGTGATGGTTGCATGGGTGTATGGGTGTATGGGGTGATGAGTGCATGGGTGCATGGGGTGCATGGGTGCATATGGATGAGCAGGAAGGACAATAAGGGGGCGTTACATGGGGCCAGGCAGGTGAGTGAGACAGGCAGGTGTGTGCACGTGCGTGGGGCAAACTCCCCTCCGCTCCAACTCCCCCACAACTCACCAAGTTCCCCCTTGAGCTGCCGCTCAGCCAGAGAGAGCGTGTGCCGGCCCCAACAAGCCCGGGCGCGGGCCTTCTCAACGCGGTGCATGAGGCGCTGGTTCACGCGCAGGCGCTCCTGCACGCGCGCTGCTAGCCCCGCACACACGTCCCCCTCCACCTGCGCTATTCGCTGCAGCCGCTCTGCCCGCGCCTGCTGCTGCTCCACCTGCTGCTGCGCCCACTGCTCGTGCGCCCGCACCTCCACGTATGCCTGCCCAGGAGGGGAGGGACGGGGGGAGGGGAGAAAAGAATGGGGGCAATCTTGAGTCAATTCAAACACCTGCAGCTGCACCCACTGCTCGTGCGCCCGCACCTCCACGTATGCCTGTGGGGGAGGTGGGGGGGAGAGAAGGAGGGGAGGAAAGAATGAGTTTAGGAGTTTGGAGAGAACGGGCGGAGACCCGAGTGATATGGGTGTGGGGGGGCGGAGTTAACGGGGATTTGTGAAGAGTGAAGGTGCACAAGCACATGGTGGCACTGGGGCACATCGATTTTTGAGTCGACTCAAAACTCGAAGCACATGGTGGCACTGGGGCACATACGGCATGAGCGTAGGCGACGTGAGAGGCATGCAGCGCCTTGGCACAGGAGTGCAGCATGGCCTTGCCCTCCATTGATGATGCCGCTGCCTTGCGCACCGCTGCTGGCACCTGCTGTAGCACCTGCATGTGCCCCATGCCATGCCCATGCCATGCCATGCCATGCCATGCCCATGCCCATGCCATGCCATGCCATGCCCATGCCATGCCCATGCCCATGCCCATGCCATGCCATGCCACCCACATGCATGTGACATGCGGCACATGCGCATTTACACAAGTGTGTGAACCCATGTCCGTCCATGCACATCCATGAAGCCGGCATGCGCATTGATTGAAAATGAGGCAGAGCAAGCAGTGGTCAAGGACAACACAAATGGAACGAGGGGACAGAGAGGACAGAGGGGACAGAGAGGGGAGAAAGGAAGCATATAAGACAGTGGCAATGAATGAAAGAAAGAAAGAAAGAAACAAAGAAAGGAACACAAAAGCAGTGGCACACGCGTGCGCACATACACAACTGTCTCCCTCCTTCCCCCTTTTCCCCCCCTTCCCCTTCCACACCCTCATACCATCCCTCACCCTCACCCTCATTGTCTGAGCACATTTCCTTCCTCACTTCCAGCTGTTCTTGCAGTTCCCGCATGGACACAAGGTGACTTTTAAGTCGACTCAAAAGTCACCTCTGTCCTTCCAGCTCTCGAATGGACAAAAGACCCGCCCGCACCCCTCACTTCCACCCACTCCTCACCTGCGAGGCAGAAGAGGTGGGACCTCGTAGCACCCTCTCACTCACTCCCCGCCCTGCCATCTCCTCCTCTTCCTCCACACTCCTCCCCTCGCCTTCCTCCTCCTCCTCTCCCGCTCCCTCTACCCCTTCCACCAGCGCTATACCCGGCCGCCGCACTCTCAGCACAGCACACCCCCCTCGTGCGTCTACTGTCACCACCACCCGTTCCTCCCCATCCCCGCCCCTCTCTGCTGCTCCTGAGAGGCCCCTACTGCTGCGGGATAGCACTGCTAGGCCGATACAGGGGACCCCGGCAGCAGCTGTGGCAGAAGGAGGAGCAGGAGGAGAAGAGGCGGAAGACGGGGGAAGAGAAGAGGAGGGGCGCGAAGAGGAGAAGCGGGAAGAGGACGACAAAGACGAGGAAGAGGTGGAAGAGGAAGAGGAGGAGGAGATGCTGTAGACTTCTACTGAAGGGAGGGCCTTGTGGCGGGCGGAGAGGGCGTCGTGGTGATCTGAGAAGGGCAGCCAGCGCAGCAGCACTGCATCCACGCCCCATGCGTGCGCACACAGCACAAAGTCAGGCACGCGCGCATCCACATGCAGGTCTATGCGCGGGAGATGATGCAGCGGCGAAGGGGATGCTACCGATGCACTCGCTGCTGCTGCTGCTGCTGCTGCTGCTGCTGCTGCTGCTGACAGGCGTGACTGTGACTGTGACTGTGACTGTGATTGTGACTTGGACGGCTGTGACTTGGACAATGGTGGCGGTGGTGACTTGGATGAAGTAGGGAGAGGGGAGGAGGTAGAGGGCAGTGAGAGGTCGACTCGGCCGAAGAGCAGCACTGGGGGGGGACGGCCAGCCCACACCACAGCACCGTCTGTCCCTCCCTCCCCTGCACTATCGGCACCACTAGCACCACCAGCAGCACCACCAGCAGCACCACCAGCAGCAGCAGCACCTGGGGACGGCACAGGCAGCAGTTGTGAGCGAGCAGTCATGGCAACCGATTGCAGCGTGGCGTGACGGGAAGAGAAGACAAGAGAGGGCGCGCGGGCAGTGTCCCACATGGGATGCACCTCGTCCGCCATGACCAGCACTCGCACTGCGCCGCCCCTCTCCCCCACCAGCAGCACACTGTCCTGCCCCACCACTGTTAGCGCCACGCAGCAGGGCAGCGATTGGGGGGATGGAGGGAGAGAAGAGGAGGAGGAGGGGTGGAGGGGCGAGGAGGAGGGGGAGGAGAGGGATGGGTCGTCTCCGGTTATGGTGGGAAAGGGGCCCTGGTGGGTGGGCGGAGGGGGGATGATAAAGAGAGTGGAGGGGAGGGGAGGGGAGGGGAGGAAGGAGCAGGGAAACAGGAGTCAGGGGTGGGAGTGAAGGATGGGGGTTGCAGGGTGGGGGTGGACGGGGAAGGAATAGCTGGAAGAAGAGCAGAACACAGCACAGCACAGCACAGCAACGCGGAGTCAAACACAACACACCCCACCCACCTGCAGCACGAGTGATGAGCTCCCAATGGCATAGCGAGCGGATTTCACCAGCCCGGCTCCCCCAGCCTCCCCCGCCTGCTCCCTCTCCTGCCCCGACCCAAGAAGCATCAGCCGAGAGCCAGCGGCGGCATCCGGGGAAGGGGAGGAGTGTTGTAAGTGTGCTCGGTGCGGGGGGGTTCGGGGTTGTGGGAAGGAGTGGGAGAGCCAGGAGGAGGCGAGGAGCGCGTGTGTGCGTGCAGGTGCGGAGAGGGAGCAGCAATCGGCGTCGGCCCTTAGCTCTGCAAGGGCTTTTGCAGACACCCACCTGGTGGGAAGGGTGTGGAGGATAGGGGGTGGGGGGTAGGGAGAAGGGAGGGAATGGGCAATGGAGGGAGGAAGGTTGGAAGGTGAGGGGCGGAAGATTAAGGTGAGGGGAGGTGAAAGAGTCGTTGTGAGGATGCAGAGTGGAGGGGGGAAAAAGCTCGTTGACAATTGCTGTGGTGCAGAAAAGACGTGCATAAGGGAGAGGTCTCTCCATATGTGCATGTGTGTATATATTTACAATTATATATATTTGAAAGTACAAGGGACAAAAGAAAGGACCGCACGCGAGGACAGGGGAGGAAATGGGGAGCATACGAGTTGAAGGGCAGCAGAGGGCAGAGCGCGTATATGGAGCCATTCTGAAAACAGAAGAAGACCTGGGGGAGGAGAGCATGGCGGGGGTGCATGGCGGGGGTGCATGGCGGGGGTGCATGGCGGGGGTGCATGGCGGGGATGGGCATGGTTGGGGGCAGGCGGCATGGGGGTGTGCATGGGAGAGGGATGCATTTAGGATGTGGCATTCGGGGGAATGTATTGGGGGGTGAGGGCAGGGGAGGGTGGGGGGGGGGCTTGAGCGGTTTGGATTGGGAGGAATGTACTGGGTGGGGTGGGGATGCATTCGTGGGAAATGTATTTGGGGGATGTCTTGGGGATGTTGCATTGGAGTTGAAGTGCAGGGCGAAAGAGAGAGAGAGAGCAGAATGATTGCATGATAGCACAAGCGAAGGTACTTGAGGGGCCAAGGAAAAAAAGGAGGCCAGAGGGGTGGGTGGGAGCGAGGTCGAGCTATTCAAGAACATCAAGTGGGACGGGAGTATATTCCACTGCTGCCCCACCCACCCACATGCCACTGAGTCACCCTCAGATAATCCTAACACCCCAGCATCCCAGCAACCCACAATCCCGTTAGCCCACCATCCCATCATCATCCCAGCATCCCAGCATCACAGCACGCAGCAGCAGTGCATGGAAGCAGGTGCGTGACTCACAGAGAAGCGCTCCCAGATGTGGTCGCCACCTAAGGCAAACCCCACGCACGCACCGGGCGACCCCGCCCCTGCACTCCCTCCACCTGCTGCTGCACCAGCTGACGTGGCAGCTGACGTGGCGGGCTGCAGCACGTACTCCTGCTCCACTGCTGCCGTGGCTGCTGCGCGCTGCTGTGGGGCGGTGGCTGCAGAGTGGGCGGCTGCTGAGATGTCGTACAGCCTGGCAGGGCGGCGCAGCACGGCAGGTAGTTGATTGAGCAGACGGGGGTAGGAATGGAGGGTGCATGAGGATATGAGACGAGTGGGCATGGTACACGGCATGGCATGGCATGGCATGGCATGGCATGGCATGGCATGGCATAACATGGCATGGCATAGCATGGCATGGTACACAAAGGCAGGACGTAAAAAAGGAAGGGGTGAAGTGAGGGAGGTAGGAACGGTGAGAGTCAAAGAGGGGGTGGAGGGAGGGAGGTGTGGAGGAGGGGCGAGTGGAGGAGGGGCGAGGGGAGGAGGGCGGGAGGGGAGGAGGGCGGGAGGGGAGGAGGGGGGCACCTGAAGACGTTGTCGGAGGTGAGGAGGGCGATGTGCGCGTCACTGAGGGGGTGCCATGCCGCCTGCACCACGTGCACCGCCTCCCCCTGAAAGTCTGCCACTCGCACACTGCCATGCATGCCCCGCGGAGGCACAGACGGGCGGGCAGGCGGGCAGGCGGACGGAAGCGATATGAAAGGGAAAGGGAAAGAGAGAGGCAGAGACACGGGGTGACGCGAGGGAGGGAGAAAGGGGACAAAAGGAGGAGATTAATGAACAGAACCAATGGGTGGGAAGGAGCAAGGTGAGGTGAGGGGAGGTGTGGGGACGGGAGGGGATAGTGGTTAAGGAGACAGATGATTAAGAAGTGGGATATTAAGAGAGTTACAATCCATTATCAATGCCCAATCGTATAACTCACCATCACCCATCACCCAGCACCCAGCACAACAACTCACCATCCCATCACCCACCGCCCATCACCACCATCCCCCACCCAGCACCATCACCCACCACCCACCACGGAACAGCATCAGCATCCTCCGCGCGCATCTCTCCCCCCAGCGCCGGCTTGCCCGCGTGTGTGCGCAGGCGCGCCGCGGCAGAGGAGACGTCCGCAACGGCGAGGGCGGAGGGCGAGAGCAGCGCGAGGGAGCGCCCAGAGGGGGAGAGCAGCAGCTGCCGCACCGGCGCGGACGGGGCTGGGGAGAGCGGCATGCGGATGGACTAGGGGCGAGGAATGGGGGAGAGGAGGGGGGGGGACCGGGGAACGGGAGGGGGAAGGGAGGATGGCGGGGAAAAAGGGGAAACGGGGAATGGGAGAAGGCGGAAGGTAGCAAGGGGGAGGAGATGAGAAAGGTGGGGTGTGGGAATTGGTGTGTACGCTGTTAGGTCTAGAGAAAGGACGAGGAACAATTAGGTCAACCTTGGTGATTAGGTCCCAGCCTCGCTGTTTCACTGGGCTGCTAAACCACGCAGCAAACCGCACAGCAAACCACACAGCTTTCCATCCCGCACACCCCAACAAGCCATCATACGCGCGGCGCCGCCACCAGCGCATCGCACTCACGTCACACGCGCCCGCGGCCGGATCCTCCGTTGAGTCCGCATCCGCGTAAGCGCCGCTCGCTGCGCGCGTACCGCATCCCACGACAGTCAGCGCCTCGCCGCCGGGCCGCCAGCAGTACAGCAACCCCTCGTTACTGTCACTCGCGACGAGCCTGTACGGAAGCGACGGCGACGCGCCATCGGCGGCAGCAGATAATGGGATTGGCGACGGCCCGCTAAACACGGCGGAGACTGCGGCGTGAAGATCGGAGTACGGAGCTGCAGCTGACGGAAGCCCCGCCGGCGCCGGCAGCGGCGATTGCGCAGCGGGAGCAAAAGCCACGCGCGCGAGCGTCGCGCCTTGCGCCATGCTGGTTCCTCCGCGATAAGGCAGCGGCGGGAAACAGCAAGTACGGGGAGTGGGGGAACAAGCGGGAGGATGCGCAAGGACACCGCAGGCGGCGGAGACGGGATCTCCGTAAGCTGGCTTCGAATTGGATGCTAGATATCGCACATCGAACGCAGCATGATTATCGGCGCTTGGCGAAAAGCCTGCCTAGAAGTTGACACGAATCACGACTCCTGATCGTGAACTTCACTGACACAGGGCGAAGAAGATCAACGGTAGGATGCGCGGATTCTAGCCATGCAAGGCTGGATATTCAGTATTATCTAACGCCAAGCGACTACACTCGAACACTGCGAGTGGAAATACCCTAGCTCCCCGGTTTTCAAAAGAGCAAATGTGTATGCAGGTGCACTTGATTCTAAATTTTTCTCTCCCTACACTGCACTACTTTTGCCGGTTCCTCACTTTAACCATTTCCACTGATCACCTACAGTCGACTTCTCTTCATTCACTGAACTAGACGGAGCTTCATCCAAGTGAAACAATAATCAGCCCAGCCTGTGCAACAAGGACTACAGCAAGGCAACAGACAGACGTGCATCCTCTTTCATCTAGAGAGTCTTTCCAGGTCATTCTGTTCAGGTTCTGGGCGCAGCTGCAGCAGCACCAGGGGCACCGGGGGCACCCGGGCGAGCACCAGGCGCGCCAGGGGCACCAGGCTTGCCACGGTCGTCCATCTGTTGACAGACAGCGGAAGACACGGGTGGGAAAAGAGGAGGGGAAGGGGTCAAGGGAAGGATGAAAGGAGGCGCGGAATGGCTTTGCAAGTGGTTTGGGAAGCAGACAGGAGAGGCAGGACGGAAATACAATCCGAAATATTTTGTGAGGGAGGATGAGGGTTTAAAACAACAGAAACGTGAAGCTGCTGCAGCTGAAGCGAAGAAAGTCCGCGCACCCATCCCCTTCTCCCCCTCCTTTCACCCCCTCCCCGGCCCAGCCCTGCACAAACCCCTCACCTTGCGCCCGGGCCTCTTGGGCGGCTCGCGGATGCGCCTAGCCTGGCGCGAGCGCACCCTGACGACGTGCGAGTGGATGGCGCACGAGATGCAGTACTGCACCTTGGCGTACAGCTTCGGCAGCGCGTATCCTGCGCACACACAAGGGGGACGCGCGGAGTGGGGGGAGGGGAGGGGGGGGGGGGGGGGGGGTTTGGAGGTTGGCAAATGACGAAAGGGAGGGAGGGAGGGAGGGGGGGAGGGAGAGAAAGAGGGCGAGAGAGAAAAGGGGGGAAGAAAGGGACCAATCTATTCAATGATAAGGACTGTAAGAGAAGAAAGGAGGCGGGAGAGAGAGGGAAGGAGAGGTGATAAACGAGGAGTAGGTGTTGCTGTTGACGGATGACGATGATGAAAGGACAAGGAAGGGAAATGTGCGGGCTGTGAATTGAATAGAGACAGAAGGGAGGGGGAAGAGCAGGGGGGGCCAACACAAGGATGTGGAAAAGAGGGGAAGAGGGAGGGACGGATTTAGGGGAACGGGAGCCACGAAAAGAGGCGCGAAGATTGTAAGAAGTGCATCCACAGGCATGGCGATGACATGGGGCATCGGGTGAGGCGTGCGGAGTGCGATGAGCGAAAGTCGGACGGCGGAACGAGGTGTGCGGAACCGGGGTGCGGAGCCGGGGTGCGGAGGCGGAAGGGGCAAGGCGGAGCGCACTGACCATCATAGACGCATGCCTCCTGCACGTCCCTGACTGCTGCCTGCTCCACAATGTTCCTCACTAAAAACCGCTTCACCGCCTTGTCCTGCTCGCACGCACACACCCACGCAAGCACACAGACATACACACACCCACGCGCGCGGGATCGCGCATGCACATCATACGCGCGCATGCACATCATACGCGCGCATGCACATCATACGCGCGAATGCACATCATACGCGCGCATGCACATCATACGCGCGCATGCACATCATACGCCACGACAAGAGGTCAACATCACGGCAGCAAACGCACGACGGGAGGAGGGTTAGTGACTGTGACAACAGCACAGGGACATCCACGCAAATTTGAATCGCTCCCCGCGCTGTCATTACTTCAGCGAGCGACGACGGAATGAAAACAAGAAATCAGGGGGTAGTGGTGGAGAGGGAGGAGGGCGGGGAAGTGAAGGGGGTCTGGCCATGAGTAACGGAGAGAGACCGGGATTGGTGGGAGGAGGGCGAGTGTGGAGAGGGTGAGGCGCATGCCTTGGGGCAGCACTTGGCGCAGTTGGAGCAGCGGATGGGCTTCACATGCCCGCGCCCGTGCTTGTTGCGACCTCCGTTCCTTCGCTTCACAGTCTGCCACCACAACAATCGCCACCACCATCATCACCACCGTCACCACAATCGCAACAATCGCAACAATCGCAACCATCTCCAACACCATCAAAGGGAGGAAAGGGGAAAAAATCCGGTGAGGAGGTGGAAGAGGATCGCGTGGAGGATCATGTCAATGGCGCTGTGCGATTGGAAGGGGTCAAGTCCGCTCTCGAGCAATGACGAGCGACTGGAGCCTTGGGAGTGAGAGGACCACCGAAGAAAAATCGCTCTAAAAATCCTGCGACAAGCAACCTGACGTCTCGACTCTGACCAGCTTTAAGTGATTGATCGTCGTGGTGAGGCTTATTAATGCCTGATAACACCTAAAGAAGAATACGTAACCGCCAGTATTACAGACTCAGCGTACGTGGAAGGACAATGACGATCTACGTATGCCTGCAGCTCATAAACCCTAGACGATCCCACTCGCATCCTGTGCGCTCGACTAAAACGGTTTATACCCGCAAACCAGCGACGCGATGGCACGAAATAAGCATCGCAGCGACAAACGAGACGCCCCAAACACATCGTACCATGGTGCTCGGGTGGCGATTCGAGGAGATTAAGGGACTGCTGGAGGAGTGCCGCGTTAGGCACACGGAAGAGGCAAGATGAGGAGGTGGAGAAAGAGAGGCGAGAGAAGGAGAGGGAGGGGGTTTGACAGGGTAGAGAGACGCTGCAGTAAGCAGAAACAGGATCAGCGAACGAGCTGTCGCGAAACAGGGTCAGCGAACAAGCTGTCGCGAAGTTCGTCAAAACAAAGCGAAACGGGTAACATGATGGACTGATATAAGTGGGCTCTTGCTACGTCGAACCTGTATGCTGAGAGAAACTTTTTCCCATATTCATGACCAACGTTTGGACAGTTGACAATAATGGATCAGCCTCAGTCAAATTCCCACAATCAATATAGAACCAACCTTGGGGCAATTTATTATACTGAACACCAAAAACAAGCAAAAACGCAACCCACACACTAGAAACCTTGCCTACTCAACCAATGTGACACATGACATTAACCTCACTATAAGAATCTTGGCTTTGAGCTGTCAGTTCCCATTCACAAATGATGAGTGCGAGCAGCCGCCATGCTCTCAAGAACCATATCAGGTCGGGCGTAGAAATCCTTTCCAAAGAAATCTCCACCCACCACCTTCCCAACCTCCGCATTTGAGGCGGTGGAAGGAAGCGACCTGGGAACAACACAGCTATGGTCAACAGTGCCTGGGAGGAACTGAGGCACCCTCCGAGAGGCAAGGCTGGGTCTTTCTGGGACTGTCAAGAGGGCTGACACGGATGGAGGTGGGGATTGCATCAACAGATACGAATCCGAATGATCCATCAGCGTGTGCTTAAATGCATCTGCACTCAGCATCCAATCACGCTCCTTCTGAAGCATCTGGGACCCATGCTCCCATGCCACTGACGGCACCTCCTCCTGCGGCTGCTGCCCTTGCTGGTGCTGCTCAAACAGCGCTGCCACAGACTGCAGCTGCTCATACTCTGCCTGCACCTCACACGACCCCACAGCCGCTGCAGTCTCCGCAGGTGCGGCGGCAGGGGTATCAGCAGCAGCAGCATCTGAGGAACCAGAAACGGGAGGAGGGAGAGCAGCAGAGGCAGACGGTTGCCAGTCAGGAACCAGAAGGTCGCAGAGCCCATCCAACATCGCATCAAGAAGCACATCAGAACCCCCCTGCCCTTCCCCCGACACGGCAACGTTCGTCCCTGCTCCCACTGATGCAGCTGCAGCAGCAGCTCCATATTTCGCTGCTGCTCCACCATCTCCGCCTCCAGAACCGTCCGTATCATGTGCAGCCAGTCCCGGATCAGGCAAAATGATTCCCGCTAGGGACTCATCTTTCGCTTCCACCCCTTGCCCATGCTCTTCGTTCACCCTCCTTGCCATGGATCCCAGCAGAGCCTGCAGGTGCTCTGGCCCGCCCCCGCCTCCATACATCCACCCAAACACCCCTTCCTCCTTGCTTCTCTCTGCCAGCGCCCCGCCTCCACGCCCTGCCTCGCCCACCTTGGCACTTGCAACTGGCTTGGTTGGCGGGAGCATGCGCGTTGGATTGTGCTCATTTTGCTTTGTCCGCGCTGACGCCATGGCGCCAGGTGCAGCAGAAGCACCACCACCACCACCAACGCTGCCACCGCCGGCAGCACTGGCAGAACCGGCAGAACCGGCAGCACCAGCAGGAGCAGGGATTGCGGAAGGTGCAGCAGCGAAGCGAGCACCACCGGCTAGAGCAGCAGATGCTGATGCTGCCGAATAAGCATGTGTTGGTGCAAACGGCACTGGCGAGCAACCGGGCAGCCGAGACCTCAGGACAGACGCCAGGGCAGCAGCTCTAGGACAAGGAGCAGCAGCACTACTCGCAGCAGCACCACCACCAGGAACAGCAGCAGTGGCAGCAGCAGTGTTGTTGGTGACGGCCGCAGCAGCGAAAGCATCAGCAGCATTGCGATCCATAGGCGAGTGCGCGAGTCTGGAGCGAGAGAGAGTGCTCCTTGGCACTACTTGCTCCTGCATGTGCCACCCAGACGCGCGCTCCCCCGGCACACACTGCGCCATGCACGCCTCGTCCCTGTCCACCTCCCCGCTCGCGGAATACCCCCCCCACTTCTTCCCCTGCGCGCCACTGCGCGTCGGGCCTGTTAATCCCGCGGACGCCACCGAGTGCGACAGCGAGAAGGACGTCGGCGCTATCGACGGCGACGCTGACGACGCGCACGGCGACGCGACAGGCACCGCGAATCCCGGTCTGTGGCTCGCCGCGGCGGCCGCGAACGCGGAGGCAGCGGGGGTTGCGCGACTGGGGGAGGAGGATGAGAGCGCCGCGGAGGATTGTGCGGGGGAACTAAGGAGGTGGCGGAGGATGGCGGAGGAGGCGGGGAAGGGAGATGCTGCGAGATGAGCGGGCGGGCGCTGCGCCTGCGCGAATGCGCTCAGGGAAACCGACGCGGTCGCATCCGCGGCAGCTGCTTGCGGAGGACAAGTGGACGGCGAGGACGGGACGCGCGCTTCGCGCGCATCCGCAAAGAACGCGGAGGGAGAGCCAGCCGCAAACGCCACGGGGGCGGACGCGATTGACGCAGCTGCCGCCGCGGCTGCCGCCGCCGCCACCGACGACGACGACGCTGCAGCCACCGTATCGGCGGTACCTTCCGGCCCGCCAAAAACGGGCCGCGAACCCGCACCCAAGAACGCCCGAATTGATGGGAATAGGCGAACGGCGAGGTCTAGGTCCGCGCTCGCAGCGACGGCGGCGGCGGCGGCAGCGGCGCTAGGAAGGGATGCGGGGAAGGCTTGCACGTTGCTTGCGGCATCGACGCGCGGTTTGACACTGTGAGGACGAAGGAGGTGGAGAGGGGTCGAGGGTACACGAGAGGTGGGTAGAGTGGTGAGCGAGGAGAGCAAGTCGAGCTGGCGAGGACGACCATGACGAGGAGGACGAAGACTAATAAAGCAAGAAAAGAGAAGAAGAAGAAAAAAAACAAACAAACAAACAAACAGATGAAGAAATCTGATCGTCGTGACATGGCTGAGAGTGTAGTTACCTCCGGATCCACGGGGAATCGAGCTGGCCGCCGCAATTCGCCTCGACGTGTCCCCCTGGAAGAAAACGTTGCGCGGCGGGATTCACGCATTCGTCGGCCATCATCTGCGTCCGAGCGCCTGCACTGCTAGCGGCGGCGGCGGAGGCGGCGGCGGCAGCGGAGGCAGCGGCTGCGCTCTCGTCGCGGCAGCGCTTGAGCTCGCCTTGGAGTTTCCGCCCCGCCGTGGCGGCCCACGTCATCAGTCGCTGGCTGCTCCGCGCCGCCGAATCCGTCCTGCACGCGCTCGCCTGTGACTCTCGATTCGCAGCGCCTCCCGCCGTCGCCGTCGCCGTCGCCGTCGTCGTCGCAGACCCTATCGCTGAAGGAGTCACCGTGGTAGCCGCCGTGTGCGACAAATTTCGCGACGGGTCTCGCGAAGATCGCGCAGATTGGGAGTCGTTTGCGAGGGAGGACAGCGAGTCGCGCGGAAGTTGTAAGACCGACGAGGCAATGGCGCGGTCATCCCGAGACGAAAGTGCCTTGTTCTGACCTCTCTTGCCCCTCTCTAGAAAGTGACGCCTGCACACAGCGAAGGCGACGCGAGTCAGAACGCATGGGCGAGCGCGGCTCGGGCACGACTGGACTTGACAAACACACATCCGGGACAGAAAACCGAGCGGAGGTGAGGACCGAAGGCTCTACACTGTTTCAACGTTCACGAAGAGGTAATCAAATCGGGACACAAGAAACGCTGACGGAAGCGGAAAGAGTGCATGAAAAGGTCGGACGGATGGTGATACTTGGACAGGGAGGAGGGGGTGAGGGTGGGCGTTAGGGTGGGAGTTAAGGCAGATAGAATGTGTCGCACTTCTTTAGCAGAATGAAGCGGTTGCAACACGCCTTCTGGTCCCGATGCGGCAGCGTCCCCGACGCTTGAAGAAAGCCCCAATACTTGGTCCCGTGCACTGCCACGTGTCGCAAGAGCACCAGATCCTCCTGCGCCGCGAACAGGACACAAGAAACGAAGGCGGAGGAAAGAGATTCAGAAAAGGTGGAGATTATGGAAGAGAGAGAGAGAGAGGAGGGTAGGAAGAGAGAGGGCGGGGGAAAGTAGGGGACGGTGGGGGGAGGCGCGTGTACTAAGAAGAGAGGGTCCAGGTAGTGGGAAGGTGTGGATGGAGAGGATAGTAAGGGTGTAGTTAACAGACTCCGTAATGAGAGAGACAGAGAGACAGAGAGAGAGAGAGAGAGAGAGAGAGAGAGAGAGAGAGAGAGAGAGAGAGAGAGAGAGAGAGAGAGAGAGAGAGAGAGAGAGGTGGGAAGAGAAAGATGAGTTACCTCTGAGGTCCAAAGTGAGCCGACTTGCCGCAAGAAGGGAAACGTTACTCCGTCAGCCATGAGAAGCTGGGTGCGATTCGATCTAAATGCAAATTTTCCCGAAATCGGAGAACAGCTTCCGCAATCGAGGAGTAACTGAGATGGACACTCCTAGACTATGAGGTAAAGCTCTGGTAGGAAGACCTGAGGTGAACGCTTCCAAGCAGTCATTCCTATCACATGGGCTTGAAGTTGGAGAAGGGGAGGATGCAGCAGGAGAAGTCATGGTGGAGTCAAGTGTAGTTGTGCTGTGGGTCCCTAGTAATTGAGGTGCCCGCCTTCACCGAAGTCCCAGTTGTATGGGCTGAGGCCTGGGAGGCTAAGGGACACGTGATTGGTGGAACGGGGCTGCGGGCTTGGTGGGAGAAGGGACTCAAGATTCATCCAAATGGGAGTGTATCAATCGTCGCTCACCCTCCACCCAACTCTCTCCACAACCCCCCCCCCCCTCCTCCCCCACACCTCCACCTACCCTACCTCCACCCTCCGCTATTAGGGTTGATTTGTGAACCTCCTTTCAGAATTGAGGGGCTACATAGCTGAAAAAAAGCAAACCAGGTCCAGCATGGCGTGGACATTGATTGGCTGTCTCACAAATATCCCGCAAGAAGTTTTCTGTTGATGTGAACTGAGGGGGTGTTACATGTGCGGCAGAACTACTCTGGGCCGCGCTGGGCCGCTGAAGCCCAGGGGGATTTACGCGAACCATCACGGACCAGCGTGGACTAGCTGTTTGGACCAGCAGACGGCCCATGTAGTGACCCAGGTAGCCCCCCACGGACCAGCATGTACAGTGGTCGGTGGACGAGCAGGATTTGGGGGACCACTTCCAACAGTCGACCCCAATTTCGCGGCCCAGACACTCGCGAAAACTCCACGTCGCCCCTCTTCGCTAGCACAAGCTGAAAATTTAGCGATTCGGGCCGTCGCGAAATGTAGATCGCGTGTTACTAGGTGCGACTTTGTTTTCGTCCACCTTGCTTTTGCGAAACTGTAAAACACTGTGCTGTTGGGGTCGGCTGCAAGGGAGCACGTGGGTACCAGGCAGGGACCACTTTCGCAAGTGATCCCTGTAAACTGGTGCTCCCTTGTCTAAGCTGGTCCATTTCCTGTAAATGGACCAGCGCGCAATGTAACACCCCCTGATTTTGGCTGAGTGAGGTCCTGAATTTCGATTCAGCTGGATGCCCAGATGGTTCAAAACAATGGAGTTTCATCTTTTCTATTGCATTTCTCGGGACGAAAGAACGTGTAACGACGCTTTTTCGGGGAAAATTGGGTTATGAGGAACTGCGACGGGCAAGTTTGTATAAACATCAAAACGGCAGTGAATCGAATCTGTTGGGGGTAAGGGATCTCGTTTGGTGGCCTGGTTGGCTTGGGATCGCTACATGAGCCAAGCCAAGACATCCCAATGGGGCAGGAGAAGAGCTGCAGTGTCCTGCCATTTATATCTACCCGATGTATCGGCTCCTGAAAGTCGGCACTCGGAGGTGGTTCCCAAACCCAAACCCTAAATCCGAAAACAACGAATGGTCACGAGTGCACGCGGTGTACAAAAAAGGTGTGCACTATCTACACACAAGCTTGTGAATTTTCCATCTGCCCAACGAATCTGCACATCACAGGCCAAGTGTGCTAGGGAGACTCCCGTCACATCCAAAACAAAGTGGACTGTGGAAGCGTGTACAGTACAGTTTGGGGAAAGAGGCAGTGCTCGATTCTCAACAACGACCTTTGTCCTGATATCCCGCCCGTATCCTGACTACAGATCTCAGTGACGTGTATTCAAACCCCTACCACTGCCCAACCACGTGACGAGACGATAAAACTTTCTCTTCACCACCAAAACTAGACAGAGACCTTGTTTCATGAAGCTTCGGGACAAGACGGGATCTCTCGCGTTGTTCCACAACACGACAGATGAGCCAGGTGGTCCTGACCCGGAAGAGCCAGACCAGGGCCTGAACCCGCAAACAGTTGCAGCCTTGTGTTACGAGTGCAATTCAGTGACCGAACGAGAATTGCACTATCGAAGCAAGAGTACAATGAGCGAAGGCATGAGCGAAGAATATATAGCGAACTACAGTGGTAACGGTAATGGACTATGGTTGTCGCGCGACGGGCCTGGGACTGAGGTTGGGAAAAAGTGTCGAAGCGGAGGCCCGGAGCGCGGGTCACCCACCGAGCCGTGAGGTCGGGGTGCGAAGGTGGCGGGCGGATTGTCGATGCGAGGGTTGCGAGTGGTAACGGTGCTGACTGTGGTGCTACAGTGATGTACGCGTTGAGCAGGGATGCGAAGTAAAGAAAAGGAATTTTCCTTACCCCCCCCCCCCCCCCCCCCCCCCCCCCTAAGGAGGTCCTCCTTACGAAATTGCGTGTACATCCCTGAAATTTCGGCTGCGCAGATACTCGGTGAGGACGGGGTGGTTTTCGATTCTATCCGGGGGAACCCAATTGTCTTCGGTGAGTGTACGGTCCTTCCAGCGGAGTAAGAACTCGATCCTTCGGGCTCCTCGAGGGTCGCGAACTCTGTGACTCAGGATTTTCTCGGGGGTGATGATTGGTTCAGTTGGTGGTCTTGTCATGCTGGCTGGGCGATTGCGTAGCAGTTGGCTCGTGGACGGTACGTAAGGGCGAAGTAGGCTGACGTGGAATGAGGGGCTGACGTACCAATCAACAGGGAGGAGGAGGTGGGCGGTGACGGGTGTAAGCATGTGGCTTATGCGAAATGGCCCGCAGTATCCGGGGCGGAGTTTCGGGGTGATGGGCAGTCGGAGGTTCTCAGTGTCAAGTAAAACTAAGTCGTCGGGCTGGTAAGTGACAGGTCTGCGGTGGCGGTCGACGTTGCGTTCAGCGATGATGTTCGATTTTTTTATTGCGTCTACTGCCCGAGTCCGTGCTGCTTGTAATATTTCGGCGAACTGTTGTGCTCGTGGTACTGGGTTGTCATGATTCGGTCATGTGTACTGTCGGGTCTTGTCCGTAGTTTAGGTAAAACGGTGACTGTTGGGTCGTGGCGGATGGCGAGTTGTTGTACGCGAATTCGATTAGTGGTAGTTGCTGTTCTCACGTGGTCGGGTCGTCACACGTGGTCCTGATGAGCTCTTCCATGGTCTGATTTGTCCGTTCTGTCTGTCCGTCGGTTTCGGGGTGGTATGATGAACTGAACTGCAGTCGCGTGCCAAACTGCTGCCACAGGTTCCGCCAGAAGTTGCTGGTGAATTTTGTGTCGCGGTCGCTGATGATCGCGGCTGGTATCCCGTGCAGTCGAACGACGGTGGAGATGAAGATGCGTGCTGTTTCTTCGGCTGTGATTGATTTTTTGCAGGCTGCGAAATGTGCCATTTTTCGTCAATCGATCGACGACGACCAGGAACGCGTCGTTCCCACTCGCCCCGGCTGGTAACCCCGTGACGAAGTCCATCGTCACCTGCTGCCAAGCACGCTCTGGGGGTGGTATCGGCTGCAACTGTCCCGCCGGCCGTTGTCGTGATGATTTCATGAGCTGACAAATGGGAGACGATGCCACGTGTCGTACGTCGGTCAACATTTCGGGCCAGTAATAATACCGCTGCAGCTGCTGTCAGAATCCCAACCACTAGACCATTGGGATAAAAGGGCTTGTTTCAGTAGCGGCTCAGTGCGCCCATAACCCCCCAGGCGAACGCGCCTGTAACTCTCTCCAGGATCAATCGGGCATCCACAGTGCAGATCTACTGACACCCCCTCACACTGGGAGGCCCAGGACTAAGCACAGCGGCAACGGCCTACATGTGCATACACCGGGAATCGAACCCGAGACCGTTGTGATACCATGTCAGAATCCCAACCACTAGACCATTGGGATAAAAGGGCTATTTTCAGTAGCGGGTCAGTGCGCCCATAACCCCCCAGGCGAACGCGCCTGTAACCCTCTCCAGGATCAATCGGGCATCCACAGTGCAGATCTACTGACATACTGACAGCTGTTGCTGTGTTTTTTCTACTCCGAAATGCCCCGAGGTAACTCCGTCGTGTGCCTCCTGTAACAGTAATTCCCGTAGCAGTGTATACCCAGGCACCCAAATGCGGTCAGTCTCGGTTTTTACGTAATAGACTCCCTTTGCTGCTGCGAACTGCTGCGAATTTCCTCCTGTGAAGAATGGATCCGTTTGGTACCCGTGGGTGAATAGGCCTGTTAGTAGCTGGCTAGTCTGGGCGAGTAGTATTGCGTGTATCTGAGCAGTGGGGCGGGTCAGTGCGTCGGCGATGTTCGAGGCTCCCTTTTTGTAAGTAACCGTGTAGTGAAAGTTGGACTCGAGGAAATCGAGCCAGCGAATCTGTCGTGGGTTGAGGTGTGGCTGTGCGCGAAGGTACTGTAATGATTTATGGTCTGTCCGCACTGTCACGTCCGCGCCAATCAAGTAACAGCGCCATACTTTGAACGCGTGCACGATCGCAAGCATTTCGCGGTCGTGTATTGGGTAATTTGTCTCGGGCGGATGCAGTTTTCGTGACTCGTATGCGATAGGCTGTAGGCAATTGCTGAAATCCTGTAGCAGTACGGCTCCGATGGCGATATCGCTTGCGTCGGTAACTACTTCGAATGAGCGGTGTGGGTCGGCGATGCGCAGGACGGGCGGTGAACAGAGTGTCAAACATTATATATGTTATGCTTGTGTAGGCTACAGTGGGTTAGCCTATAGGGGGTACACAATTCTAGGGTTTCCTACTTGTACTCATTTTCACTGCTAGTTCATCCATTCCTGTTCGCTTATTCTCACATGGTATAGAGCGGGTCCTTCTACGGACCATTTTTTTTTGGGCCCACCGAAGCGCCCCCCGAGGCGCGATCTTTTTTTTAGCGACCCCTCGGGTCGCCATTTCCCCTGCGGCCCCGCCGCCTTCACTGACGCGGCCCCGCCGCCCTCTCTGTCGCGGCCCCGCCGCCTGCTCTCACGCGGCCCCGCCCCGGCTCCTTCGCGGCCCCGCTGCCTGCTCTCGCGCGGCCCCGCCCCGGCTTCTACGCGGCCCCGCCC